ACCAAGAATAATTCAAGCAATTGAAATGATAAAAAATGTGGTAAAAAAAATAACAGAATTTTCTAATCCATTCTTATTTAAAAAGTTAATTTTAAGAGGTGTTTTATGAAGAACCCTGAATGACTGATGCTTATCTCCCGTTTTGGGGTTTTCGGTGCTGCGCATGCGCAGTTTTGCGCTTAACCCAGATTCAGTCGATGTTCGTGTCTGGCTTTCGGATTGCGTGGCTTGTTGCATTTGTTGACTGGGCACAGAATTTGGCGGCCTTTAGTCAGGTGAAAATTGAGGTGAAAGGCGTTTCTGTGGGCTTCTGTTTGGAGCGGAGGAGAGAGATTTACTTTCGGATTTGGCCCATTTGGTAGATGGGTGGATAAACGATGATTTGTATTCATAAAGTGCTGCCCAGTAGGTGGCTGATGGCTTAATAGTCTCGTTAAGATTGTTAACAAAAGATATACTTTAAGGCTTGTTGTCGGAAATTTTTATTAAACTGATTTGGCCTTTACTTTTGGTCCAAGTTAACTTTAAATCCTTCAGGGAATTCTTCACCGTAAAAAATATTCTTTTGTATATTTGTTTAAAAATTATAGCATTTATTTTAATTTAAATGTATTTCTATTTTTATTGCATTCATGTCATCTAAAGCGTTCCCCCTCTGATTTATCCATTAAACATATAAAAGCAATGCTTTATAGTTCCCATACCCATAAACATGTCAATAAAATCCATATGAATAATTTAAATTTCCTTTTTAAAAGTCTTCTTTAAATACTCTTCCATTAATGCCAAAAGGAAAAAAATGTTTTGATATTAGAACCCCTCTTTTAAGGCCCAAACAATTTAATTAAATTGTGATGTGAGTGTGCGTGTCGTCTAGCCTACAATTGAGTTTGCTTTTGTTTGTCGGGGAGTTTGTTTTGAATTTCTCCAACATTTAATTTCGTTTGCGCACCAAAAAACAATTGAAATTTTTTTTATTATTCAATTATACTCGAGTCGAGGCAGTAAACGCATTTTGTTATATAGGGGGATGAGGGGAAACCGTTTGTATGCATTTCCCATTTGTATTCGGCAGCAGTTCAGAGCCCAAAATTGAAGCCAAGTCACCAAATCCGAATTCGACTACGAATCCGAATCCATATCCCCAACCGACGTCATCGTCTCCTCGCCTTGTTTATCAATTAGGCACACACATTCGATTCGGTTCGATTCGGTTTTCGATTTTTGTATTAGTAGGAATGCCTTTGCATTCACCAAAGTGGAAATCCCCGCCCCTTTTGGCCACGCCCTTGGTTGCACTAATCTGTTTATGGCATCGAGATTCTATTAATATTTTTTTTCCTATTTTTTTGGGGGCCCCGTTAAAGTGTTGGAAGTTTTACGATGGCATCCTAAGAAACTTTGCCCAAATTGACTTTGGCATATCTTCGTCTCGCGCCCCCGGCAGTCATAATTTAAAATATTTAAATGCTCCGGGCTATAATTGAAGAATGCAATGGCCCAACGACCACTTGAGGTTTCACATTCTTCATCATTCAAATGGCTTGAGCTATGGAAATGGTTTTCTTTCCCCATTCAATTCCGAATTCAATGTGAAGTTCACTGTAAAAACTAAATGCTTTCATTTCATATTTTTATGGCACGCCAGCAGTTATTAATAAATTTTTTTGTAGCCTCCGTTGATTGTTATATGGAGGAGTTCGAGAGTGAGGGTGACAGGACGGAGAGGCTTTTATTTATTAACCCCTCCTACTGTTACTTTACCCCTTGGGGGTTGACAAGTGACAAATGCAGGGAAGATATAAAATTAAATGTGTGAGCCGAAATCAAAATCAGTTTTCAGCCTGCGGGCTTTCCCCCGCTATTTTTCCCTTTACCCCCCGGTGAAAGATCCAAACAAACAAGTCCAAACAAAAACACAGTTTATGGCAGAGAGTGCAGAACATCCTTACCCACCAACCTCATCATCCATCGGCATATTTGGAACATCAAAGTACGCGACGACATCAGTTCGTCAAAAAAAAGAAGGAAAACAAAAATGAAGCGGCATCGGGTTGTAATTTGTTCCTTATTTTAGCAGCGAAATCCATCATCACTCGATGCATGACCCGTGCGATGATTGACGGATGAACGGCCTGGTTTACCCTCGGTTAGGAACCCTTATGCCATATGTTTGCCTGCGGCCCAAGACTCCGACTTGACTTGGTTTTAGCGTGTGATAATTTCCCATTTGTTGAGAGTTGCACTGGAAAAAAATGGCATTAAATAGAAAAAGTAATAAAATTGAAATCAAGAATATAAAATAATCAAAAAGTATGTTAAAAGATTTTCAGAAATTTAAGTTCTGGAATAATCGTTTTTTAAATAATATAAAAAAATATTATTTATTTTCATTTACCAAGGAAATCTCAATTCTTATATTTTTCAAAGTACAATATGTGTGAAATTATCTCTCTGCCGAGAGCTATCTATGCGTGGGCGCTTCTGTTGTGTTCTAGTTTTAATGAGTTTCCACTCGACGGAGTGTTTCAGGACAATAGTCCTTGAGGCGCCTCCTGGCGCCAGTTGCCCAGCAATCTGGTGCCATGCCGATGCCTTGTCCTGAATTCTCGGATTGCCAACAGACATGCATTCTGGTGCATCCTTATCGCATTTCTTTTTTGCAGCTGCTTATCAGCTGAGGAATTCGACACCCACTTGTAGACACTTTTACAGTTTGAAGAACTTTTTTTTGGAACGCCGAAACAGAGAAGTAGTTAACTCACATGGGTCGGAAAAACTTATTGAGGCGTAGAAGGGGGCCTGACTAGCATTCGACTCGCTGCTAGTCATTTGAGCCAATCAATCACTCAAGTTTACTTTGGGTTAATTGTTTTCCGTAAACAATAAGCCAGAAATACCACCAAGCTCCCCTATCTCCATATGGCGATACATCTAGCAGATGCCTAGGGAAGGGATACATTTGGGTCAAAGGGAATTTTCATTAGTCTGCCAGTCATTAGTTCTGTTTTATGATGTCTCACCCATTAAGTAGTCGCAGCCCCCTTCGGTCGGTCACACCCCCAGAAATTCAATTCCACACATTTAGCCTTTCAAGGAATTTAATTTGGTATTCCGATTTGCATGAAAATCATCTAAATAAACAAAAACATACATACGACTTAAATGTGCAAAAATCACGAATTGTTTATACAATTTTGCTGTACCTACTTAATGAATGCCAAATTTGAAATGATAATTAAACGCTATAGAGAATAGCTTTTATATATTCTACAACGTGTTATCCATCAATCACCCACGTATATATAGAAAAGTGGCCCTTTATGGCTATAAGTTTTGGACTTTTTCAGAAGCTTTCTCCCCTTTTTGCTTTCCCCAAACAAGGTCCCTTATCATTGGTTATTTATAATCTTGATTTGTTAGGCACATAATAAATGGGTTAACACCAAAATATTTTTGGATTTTAGATTTTAAAATTGTATATTGTTTAAATATTGTTTATTAAGTCATAAACTTATAAAATTACAATGCGTTTTTCAATAATATTCGCTGTGTCGTTGGTTAATAAAAATCTACAGATCATTTTAACGGTATTGTTGGTCACATTTTTTGTGTTTACCCCATGGGAATTTCTCCAAGCCAAAAATACAAAAAATATACCAAAGAGTCATCTGCAAAAAAGGCATCATTTTTCTTACAAGAAAGCAGAGCATAACTAAAGAGTAAAAAACATATTTTTATATATACCACACTCTGAATAACTTGGCAGGCTCTTCATGATTTTGCGTTAAACGTCGAGCGTGGTAAAAATAAATACAACAAAATCCCGTTGTTTTTTCTGTGGGTACTTTCAGCATTTTGTGACGCGTTGCGTCGTGTAAAACAAAAAGCCCTGACGCGTGTGACATTTGGCGCTGGAAGTTGACTTTTCAGCATGAACAAAAGGGAGAAGTGACTTCGCTGCAAGTGAAAAATTGAAGAGTTGTTTTGGGGGAGCAAGAACTGGGGTAACTTGGTCTGCTCGGTTTATTGTTTTTTCGTGTTGGCCTCAGGACTCGAATGATTTCGCTTCTGGGGTCTGCGTGTCCACTTTTCCACTTGTGCAAATATACACCATTGTGGTTAAGATTGTAGCACCTCGAATTTAAAACTTTTTTCGACTTAAAAATTCTATGAATGTTAATTTCATTTTCAAAAATCTTAAAAAAAGAATATTATTTAAAGTAATGACACTTTTTAGAGAGAATGTACAAATTATTTGGATACAAAATATTTAATATTTAAAATATTTACACCCAAAAAAATCTGATATGAAACGATGATCAATTTGATATTTTGTGGTATTAATAAAAATACCAGAAATTTACCAAGCGCATTTAATCCCGGTGCTTTAAAAAAAATTTGCAGAAACATCTTTTAAGTATTAAAAAAAGGACAAATTTATAATGGTTTTCATATAGGCCTTTTACAGAACTATCATCCTGACCGAGTCTGTGTTTCGCCCTGCATGCAAGTGCTAAGCGCATCTGTATCTGTATCTGTGAGATACATGCCAGGGTTGTCAGACATCTGCGCTGTCTGGCGGATTCGCATTAATTAGACGTGTTCTGTGCTTGTCCAAAAGTCTGGCCCGTATCTATATAATATTATTTATGAACTTGCTAATTTTAGCACTGCCCCTGGCCTGAAAATGGTGGCCCAAGAGCAAGATGACTGATGCTCTGCGTCTTATCAGGGTATCTCAACATGCCCGGCAACATGTTAAATGATTATCAGAGCAAGGCATTCGCTTCGCCTTAATTTCGGGCTCAAGTTGTCAGTGTTTTGGATGCCTGGCGGCGTTGACTTTAAGCCTATTAGATACACCGCACTCCGCCGCAGAAAAGGCTTTGTTCACCTTGACGGGGAGGGGCGGTCGGTCTCTAGGTGCGGCCCAAGTAGTTTGTAATTAACAGCATTTACATCACCCTAATGAATGTTTTCCCCGTCCTCTATTGCAGCACACACCGCCGTCCTCGACGAGTTCTCAACTCACACTGTGATACGACCGCAGGTGGAACATGGTCGCACTAAGCGCAGCCTGCAAACCACATTGGATGCCACTGTAAGTAGCCAAGGACGAAGATAAATCCTGGGGTAATTGTGCCAAATTATGCTTCAGCCTTTTGTTGTCGTTTTTTTTAGAACAAAATGTTTAGGCCAACATTTTGTGTTCAATTCAAGGTTAAAATGCATTTTGTGTTCATGTAAAACTTTTGTTGTAAATTGTAAACTTATGGAGATATGCATGGACCAAAGCGACTGCTTTTACTGCTTGAATTCCATTATTGGCTTATAAGTTTTTAATAAATGGTCCGATTTGAAAAACGTTTTCTACATTTCGTTAGGTATTAAAAAACACAGTAAAACTGCATTTGTATCTTTTCGGAAAAAGATGTTGCCGCCAGACACCCTTTAAAATTATTTAGGGCGATTGTGAGCGTTCGAGTGGGCGTGGCACTCTGATGAAACAAACTTGCCCTGCGTAGGAACCCAAAGAGTCTGCATGGTTAATACCATCGTTCTAGCTTTTATAGTTTTCGAGATATCACCGTTCATATTCCCTTTTACTCTACGAGTAACGGGTAAAAAAATCTAAACTTTTTTGGACTAACAGTCACGTTCTTACTTCTTTAACTTTCGAATATTTTTTGTGTAAATATTTTCGTTAAATTGTTTAGTGAGCAGCACATTTAAAATTCATCAGATTTACCACCATTTTAACAGGCGGCGGGGAAGGTAATCAAAATTAACCTGAAAATAAAGTCCAGCAGTAACGTAAAAATTTGCGCGAAATTCATTACATGCCTCTAGGGCAAAAATGTTTGGAGCTTACTGGGTGCGCTGACAAAAAGCCCAACCCGTTTTAATTAGTTTCAACAAGCAGCCACCCCAAAAATGTGTATGAGTTAAGGATAGAGGGATGTAAGCTCATTTAACCCCTGTGACGGGCAGGACATTACACATTCGCACCTCGGCACTTTGTCACGCCCACAATTTGCATGCAAAAATGAAATAAATGGGGATGACCGACCCGGCCAACCAGACCCAAATGGCTTAATCTTGTTAACGTTATCTCCCTGCTATTCTCCCGATTTGCAGGACGGCCTTCACACGCCTCACATCAGCCTGAGCTACACCCACGAGGGCAAGCGAATTACCATCGACCTGCAGCGAAACGATCGCCTGCTGCCCGAGTCCCACTTCCTGCGATACCAAAATGCCAGCGGAGGAGCCACTCCTGGCCATGTGGTTCGCAACTTCACCAAGACTGAGGTTGATTTATGCCACTATCAGGTAAGTGGGAAAATTCCCCTCTTTGTTATATACAAAACTTACTATTTTTCAAGAAATTTATTTCCAATTATCTAAGACCAATAGGTTTTTTTAAGAATATTCTTAATTAAACATTTTTTCTATTATAAATTTCTAAAATTTGGATAAGCTGTTTTCTGACAATTTTTAGTTCTTGTAAACTTTTTAGTAATTTCTCATTTAATTTGGTTAACCCATCTCAGGGACACATTCGTGGTCAACCAGACTCTGTGGTAGCCGTCTCCACCTGTGATGGTGCTCTGGATGGCATCGTTTTCGATGGCAGCCAAACGTACTTCATTCATCCCCATGTCGATAGCACAGGGAGACTCCAGGATGATCATTATCTGCTCAGGTGAGTTGGAAATTATTTCCCATAAATTAGATTTTCAGAATGAGATGATAGCACAGGGTTTTAAATAGTTAAAGTAATTTTGTTCTGATTTATTAAATAACTAAACAAGTAAATAAAATTTGCAAAATTAAATAAAGTAAAAGTAAATCATTCCCAATTAATAATGTTTCGGCTCATGATAACCACTTAATCGAAGTTTATGGAGCCTCTTCCTTGATTTACGATACCGATGAAGGAATGGTTCTGCTTTTAAACGGCGCTTATCTAATCGGGAGTCTTTGGCCCTATTTCGACCCAAGCGAAATAATATTTACTTACTTGTCATAAATGTTAGGGCAGTTGGGAACGAATATTTTTTGAATACACTAGTTTACAAAATAATATTCTTGGTGTGCTCCCCAGCAAATGATGGCAAATTCTGTTAGTTTTGGACCCCTAGATCACGAAAATAGCACTAATTTTTTTTTCGATGGCACAGTTTTTTTTTAAAGATTTTTTAAAGTTCGAAATGTTAAATTTCTGACTTTTTCGAATTTCTTCTTATATCTCGCCAGATATCCACTCGATTGGGCCAGTTTTAGTTTTATTTTAAAGTCAATAGATCAGAGCCTAACTTTGCCATACAGATCAATATGATTGGATAAGTAATGGCAGCACAGAAGCTCGACAAAGATGAAAAATGTGTTTTTTGGTCGACTGTAAGTCCGCTGTATATATCGTAAAAACTCGAAATAAATCCGTTGAAAAATCATAATGGGTACAAACTTAAAGTTTACATCCTACCGAATAAAACAAGCAGGATATGGCCCATATCCATGGAAAATTGGATTTATGGTGGATTTTTAAAGTTCGGATTTTTCCACTTTTTTCGGTTGACAGAGTCCAAATTTAATATTTATCATAGGCGGCGACATGTAAACAAAAATAATTGGTGTTGGCAGCCGGGTCACTTAATAGCTAAATCAGATATTTAAAAGCTAGAAAATTATTAAAGTGAATTTAATTTTTGAAATTAAGGTTACTTTTTTCATAAGAATGAACTATCCAAATGGATAGTACTTAATTAAAAACACTCACAGTCATAACGGAAGCAATTTTATATTTTTAAAGGAATGTTCAGAAATTAAATTTTTGTTATAATTTTTTAGCTTTTAATTTTAGCTATTTTTTGACCCGCCTGCCGTCACCACTCATTTTGGTTTACATGTCGCCGCCTATGATAAATCTTAAATTTGGACTCTGTCAACCGAAAAAAGTGGAAAAATCCGAACTTTAAAAATCCACCATAAATCCAATTTTCCATGGATGTGAGCCATATCCGGCTTGTTTTATTCGGTAGGATGTAAACTTTAAGTTTGTACCCATTATGATTTTTCAACGGATTTATTTCGAGTTTTTACGATATATACAGCCGACTTACAGTCGACCAAAAAACACATTTTTCATCTTTGTCGAGCTTCTGTGCTGCCATTACTTATCCAATCATATTGATCTGTATGGCAAAGTTAGGCTCTGATCTATTGACTTTAAAATAAAACTAAAACTGGCCCAATCGAGTGGGTATCTGGCGAGATATAAGAAAAAATTCGAAAAAAGTCAGAAATTCAACATTTCGAACTTTAAAAAATCTTTAAAAAAAAACTGTGCCATCGAAAAAAAAATGAGTGCTATTTTCGTGATCTAGGGGTCCAAAACTAACAGAATTTGCCATCAATTGCTGGGGAGCATTTCGGCTGTAAACTAGTGATATCAGGGGCCGGACGGAAAGAGGTGTTTGCTGGCCAAATGTTTACCTATTTGTGGGCCACAAATATTTGCTCTTTCGGGTATATTTGCCCGAATCCCCTAACCAGAACGAAATTCGTAACCATAACCGACCTACTCATTCATTATGTTCATGCGCCACCATCACTTCCGTTATTAATTTCTTTTGTTGGCCTCGGAAATATCAAATTACCTTTGATTTGTTCTACGCAGGCAGGCAGACATGCATCCAACGAACGCCACCTGTGGCTACGATAGCCACAGGGACGACCACAGTCACGACCACGAAAGGGCTGGCCAGGATAATGAACTTGGAGGGGAGATTCCTGCACTGCCACTCCGCCTCGATGGCGGGGAATTCCAGAGAACCCTGCTCCGGAAGAGGCGTCAAGCGGACGATAGCAGTCAATTGATCCGGGGCCCCTATAATGCCAACAAATACTCCAGCTACGTGGAGCTGGTCATCGTCGTGGACAACAAGGTGTACAAGAGTTACCAGGAGAGTGCCAAGAAGGTGCACCAGCACTGCAAGAACCTGGCCAACATTATCAATGCTGTAAGTAAAATTGTTTGGGTTGAGATCTGCAATTAAATTAAACACGTGATTGGGAAAAATGCATACTGGTTTACACTACATTTTTCCCTATTTTATTTATAAAGGTGTTTTTAAATCATTTTTAAATGAAAGGTGTCTAAAAGTATGCAGTGAATAAAGGAAAGTCGTAATCCTGAACGAAACCATATCACTTTTGTGTTTAAAATATTTTGTTGCATACTTTTACACACCTATTTAGACATCTTAAAGTTATTTCAAAACCCCAGCAACTTTTAACTGATCCCATCCATGTTCTCTTAATACTAATATAAATTTTTTCCACCCACTTTTAGCTCTATGTGCCCCTGAATATATTTGTGGCTCTGGTGGGCGTCGTGATCTGGAATGAGGCCAACGAGATCGAGTTCTCGAACGACGGCGATGTGACGCTGCGAAACTTTCTGAACTACCGCAGCAACAAGCTGGTGCTGGAGCACCCCAACGACAATGCCCAGTTGCTGACCAAGGAGACCTTCGCCGGCGGCGTTGTGGGCAAGGCGCTGAAGGGTCCCATCTGCACGTACGAGTACTCCGGCGGAGTGAGCATGCAGCACAGCCCCAACACGGCGATGGTGGCCACCACAATGGCCCACGAGATGGGCCACAACTTTGGCATGGAGCACGATACGCCGGACTGTCATTGTCGCGATGAGAAGTGCGTGATGGCTGCCTCGAGTACCTCCTTTATTCCGGTCAACTGGAGCAGCTGCAGCATCGATCAGCTGACGATAGCCTTCTCGCGCGGCATGAACTACTGCCTGAGGAACAAGCCGGAAAGGCTCTTCGAATCGCCCACCTGTGGCAATGGTTTCGTGGAACCGGGGGAGCAGTGCGATTGCGGACTGCCGGAGCATTGTGAGAATGCCTGTTGCAATGCCCAGACCTGCATGCTGCACGCAAATGCCTCCTGTGCCACCGGCGAATGCTGCGATCTGACCACTTGTCGTCCCAAAATGGCGGGCAGTGCCTGCCGGGAGGCTGAGAATGAGTGCGACCTGCCGGAGTACTGCACCGGGGAGTCCGAATACTGTCCCGCCGACGTCTTCCGCCGCGACACGGAGCCCTGTGACGACGGCCAGGCCTACTGTTTCCACGGCACCTGCCGCTCGCACTCGAATCAGTGCCGAATTCTGTGGGGACCCACGGGCGACAACTCGGAGCACTGCTACAGCAAGAATGTGGAGGGCTCGAGGTATGGAAACTGCGGCTACAATCGCCTCAACAAGACCTTTTTGCCCTGCGAGGAGCAGCATGTGAAGTGCGGAATGCTGTACTGCATCCACCTAAACGAACGACTCGAGTTTGGAATGGAATCGGCAGCTGTTTTGTCCCATTCCTACGTCAGTCACCAGCGCAAAATTGTGGCCTGTCGCACCGCCCTGGTGGATCTGGGATTGCAGAACACCGATCCCGGCCTAACGCCCAATGGTGCGAAATGCGGGAATGACATGATGTGCGTGGATCAGCGATGCCTGCCAGTGGCTGCGGTTCGGCAGAAGGGCATGGGTGCTCCCTGTCCGGACGACTGTAATGGCAATGGCATCTGCAATAGCCGAGGTCACTGCCACTGCGATGTCGGCTTTGGCGGCGAGTCGTGCTCGAAGGCGGGCTCTGGAGGATCCCCGGACAGTGGACCGGCCACGGATCCAAATGGTATGTGGGAAATTCATTTTTTAGGAAAACTTATTAAATGTATGATTTATTTTTACAGGTTCTGTGGGCCTCAAGCGTTTCCTGTACGTCCTGTTCTTCTTGGTGCTGCCCGTGGTGGTCGGCTTTTGGATACTCTTCCAGTGCTATAAGAACGGATTGTTTACCCGCGGCAAACTGGCGGACAATATGTATGTATCGACCTCCTCCTTCAGCAGCGACTCCAAAGGGGTCAGCAGCCCCGACAGCAGCAGCATCTCCACCCAACTAGCCTATAAACAGACCCCCGCACCCACTGCACCACCTCCACCTCCACCTTCTGTTGAAACTAACACGGCTCCGGCCACCATTACTAACATACACGCCATCCTGCCGCGCCACAAGTCCAATCCGGATGCAGTGCATCAGGTACACATTCAGCCGCCCTCTGTGCCGAAAAGTCAGAGCACTTACGAGGTGCGGCGGAAGGGATCAACTCGGAAATCGAGTCTCCTCCAGCCATCCACTCACCCGTCCTCGTCCTCTTCAACTAACAACAACACTGAGTCCCTTAACAACAACAACAGCACACTGAGACGCAAACTGGATATCACTGCCCCTCGGCTGGATGCCACCACAAATCCACTGGCTCTCACCGAGGGCGCCCAGTTCATACAGAGCGACCCCGCGAGGTGCGCCAAAAACTAATGCACATATTAACAGCTACAGTGAAATACGCTTGCACTGCCACAAAATATTGCATGACTTTGCGCTTGGCCGAAGGCGTTTTAGTATCCTTGCAGAATGCTAAAGAAACCAAGTAATCACAGAGATCTTTGGGATTTCGTTATTTTCAGAGATCTATCAGGAATTTAGTATACTGTATCGAATTTATACATCGAATAGCCTATCAACTAATTCGATTTTGCATTTATCCAATTAAACTAAAACATATGAAATACAAATCCCCTTTTAAACAAAATTTAATATTCCAAAAAAATTAAATAACCAAAAAAGAAAATAAGACTATATTGACCTGTATATATTTGTTTTATAAAACAAAATCAAATTTGGTTGTGAATCAATAGTGCTGAAATTAATATCATCACAGAATTTAAAAGTAACCAATTTTAAAGTAAATATTTCGTAGCAAACAATAATTGTTTATATATATTTAATCGAATCATAAAAGAAATATACATTTTGGAACGTAAATAGGTTTGTGTTTTGAGTGCTCTACACACAAAAAAAAGCATCATGCAAAACCGAAATCGTTTTTATATGAAATACCCTTTTCGACCAGGTCAAATTTACCTGGCCTCATATCAAATTAAAATTGATCTTAAATAACGTAAAATTGACCTACGTTTCATATCGATTTTTTTTTGGGTGTAGACCAATCATGCAAAAATAGTAATAGGCAATTTTGCAGGAATTTTAAAAAAAGGCAAAAATTAGCATACAAAATCTGCAGAGATATATCGCTAATTCGGATAACCGAAGACAACTTTTTCGTTCATTTTAACACACTGTTCGTTTGCACGATTGTGTTGATGTTATATAACCCGAGCCCTTAATCCTAAACGACCACTAACAAAGGTTTAATATCCGATTTGTTTCTAGTTTAAGTTGACCTGACTTTGTGTGTTTCCCAAATAAATGTTTTATTTTAACTTTTGGTGTTGGCTTTATATTTGTCTTGCTATTTGTATGCGCTCACTTTCCTACAAGCTATGTTTTAGTATCCCAGCACTGGTGTTTGGTTAATGCACGTTTTTCAATTTGGTATGTTACACAACAACACTTTAAACGCTGTGATATCTGATCTCCGACTTGCATTATACTTATCTGTAAAATTGAATATCCTTGCAGCTTGAAATCCTCTGGAGGAAGCAAACCCATCACCACGCGAACAAACCAGAATGGCAGTGGTCCACCGCCTGGCAATGGACTACTGAAATCCACTCCCAGCAGTACGGATGATATGGATTCGGCGCTCCTGAAATCCCCGAGCGACTCCACACCCACCACTGGTTTGTTTGGCAAATTCGATGGCTTCACTCTGCGACCGCTGAACGATGCCTCCTCGCCGGCGAGCAACTACAGTGGGCCGAATGTGGCCTTTGTGCAGCCCACTGTGCAGCAGGATGGACCGCAGAGGATGGCTCCGCCACCGCCGGTTGCAACGCCGGGAAGTTCACCGGTTCATCCCGCCGCTGCGAAACCTGAAGCCACTTATGTGAGACCAGCACCAGCTTTGCCTCCGCCCAATCCTGGATCCACGGCTCGTCCGATCATCTCACCACCCAAGTTGGATTCCAGCACGTTAACCATGGTGCCGCTCAAGGGCAGCACGGAGGATCTCTCGCCCACTCGATCCGCTCCAGCACCTCCAGTTCCACTGCACTCTGATCCTAAGCTTAATATCAAACGAGATGGTACCATACGTCGATTTGCTTCGTTCCTGAAGAAGGAGGAGAAACCGCCGCTCAAAGAGAAGACCTACATTGATCGGGAGCGGTTGCGAACTCTGGAAATTTCCGCTCCCATGCCTGTGCCCGCTGCACAGGAGTCCTCCAATTCGGATTCGGAGACCACGCCGCGCGAGGAGGAGACCCAGAATCTGGTGAAGCGCGCCCAATCCATGCGGTCGCCAACGAAGAAGACACCGCTACAGAGTTTCGGATCCATGCGATCACCGCCGGGACTGCCGCGCCCCAAAAGCGGTCAAGTGAACAGCAGCGGCAGCTCGAGGCCCAAGTCGCCTCCCCCAAGGCCTCCACCGGTGGTGGTCAAGAAAACCAACTCCATTGGCTCCTCGGGCTACCAGAGGCCAGTGGCCACGGCCCAGCGATCGGTGGAGAATACCTACGACGACTGCGAGTTCGTGGAGAACGAAGTGCGAGCCTCGAACGATGACATATACTCCGTGATCGATGAGATTCCACCGGCGGCACAGACACTCAAGCGGAGCGATTTGGTGGCCAACAGGGCCAGCAATGGCAGCGACATGGGATTGCTGAATGAAATTGTCAACGAGCTGGAGAAGATTAACGGAGACTCGATATATTCGGGCAAGCCCGTAGGCGTAGCCGCAGCAGTTCCTTCTGTAAATCCACCCAAAAGTCCACAGCGACCTGCGCCACCCAAGCCAGCGAGCAGTGTGCTGGAGGAAAAGGCATCTGCATCGGCATCTGCTAGCACATATCATCGCCCGCCGCCAGTTAATGCGCCCGTGGCACGGGTGAAGCCCACGGTTTCGGACAAATCTCCGGCGCAGCCCAGCATGTCCAGCTTCAAGCCGCCGGCGGGAACCGGCGGTCAGACGCAGCCAGCGCCAGTTGTCCAACTGGCCAAGCGGAGCAGCAGCGGCAGCATCACCGGAGCATCGGCCTCCAATCGTCCCAAATCCTTCATGAAGAGCACAACAACGAAAGCACTGCCTAATGGGACGGCGGGAGCGGCGTCGGCCACCATCCAGAAACCCAAGCCGCTCTCGGCAAAGCCATCATTCAGCGGCGGCGGCGGTGCTGGCGGTGTCCTGGGAAAGCGGGTCAATGGCGGAGCAGCGCCCACGCCACCTACTGTGCAGGCTGCGGCGCCAAAGTCCAACATTGCATCGCTGACACAGCGATTCGAGCAGAGCAAGTAAACTAAGAGAAACTACAATTAGGAGCTAGACCTTGGGCATAGCGAGAAAAAATATTTATTGGATAAAGAATTTGAAATTTAAGAACTGAGAATTACCCCTACCAATGTTGAATGATTTAATGATGATTTAATGCTAGTTTCGTTTGCTTAAATATTTATCCACCACAGAATAAGTTAGGAAATTTTTAAGAAATCAGAAATACAATTAATTTTTATCTTTCAATCTAATGGATAAATTAGAAAAATATTAACCTATACTCTCTGCCATTTTGTGATTCCTGGCTATGCTCCTGGTCTGGCTAAATACCCACCTTGCGTGGAATTGACTTAAGTTTTATGTTAGGATACGATCAAATTTTATTTGGCACTGACTATGATTATGACTGCGTCATCTTTGATATTCATTCCTTTTACCGATGTCCCAATAGTTAGACGTAAGGCGTTGCTTAACTCATGTGCTAGGTATGTATCTCAATGGTTAATGTTTAAGCGCTGCATGTGAAGTTTTATTTTAGCCCCTAACGATAGCCGCGTACTTGTATCTGTATCTATACTCTACGGTAATCCCATGTATTTATGTATGTATATCTTTACACGCAATATGCTTTTGTAAATAAAAACCAAAGAAGTTCAAGTGTCACAACAAATGCGCCGCCTCGAAGTAATCAATTAAAACGTGTTGTAAAGCTGGGGATATTGAAAAAGTAATTAGAGAAGTCGTGTTTCAGTAGCGAAATCAATTTCAATTCTCTCAATGCAGCAAAGAATTATGTTATACCCCATATGTAAGAACGATATCAAATGTGTATAGAACCGAAGTTATGTTAAAATATACGTTTAACTAAATTTAAAAAGAAATTGTGTTTGCGAGGTTGGGCTTCAGTATTTTGATGATATTTTTAATAAATTAATGTAGTGGTTTCAATCAATCACTGTTTACCAATTAATACTAGATAATGCTGAGTGATTCTTTATTTTACCAACTGATGGAATGATTTCTTTTCAATAAAAGATTTCTCATTAATGTGAGCAGTTTTCAAATGAGACTTGGTCCGAGTGTCGAGAAATACCTAAAAAAAATTGGTGTGGTGATCCAAATCCTTTTGCCCAGGACAGCTCCACCTGGAATTCTTCGTAGACACCTCTCACCACAGATCTTGATGCAGAATACTTTATGAAAAGTAATTTTCATAAAATAATGTGAAAAAAACAAGAAAACTACCAAATTCCTTTGACGTTTGAAGATAATGATTTTTAAATTTATTAACAATGATTTAAATATTTTTAAGAAAACGAAATAAATTGTGGTTAAGCTTTGCGCGTTCGCTTAGCCTTCGTGGGTTCTTGAGGAGTCGACATAGCCTGGGGCTTCGTCATATCGCTCGAGGAAGGATCCGGTGTAAGTACTAGTGCCTTGCCAGCCACCAGTTTCTTGACCGCCTTGACTTTTGGCCTGGCAGTCTTAGGCTGAGCCAGAGTTCCAATGGACTTGCGCGGTTTTTTCGCCTTTCCAGCCTCGGATGCTTCCTCATCGGCATTAGATTTGACCTTAGATTTGCCAGGCTTAATTTTTGCTCCTGGAGTCGTGGTCCTCGGAGTTTCCAGCATCGCCTGTACAGCAGCGGATGCGGCTGTCTTAGATGCTGGTGGTTTATCCTTGGCGCCGTCCTCTTTCTTCTTTTTTCCAGCCTGCGGAAAAATACAAATTTATTATTATTACAAGAATTTTTCATTAACCAACTCATTTTCGAAAAATTATCTTTTGGAACTGTTCCCTTAAAAATCCTTACAAAATAAATATTTTGTTATCTCAATAAACTATAAAATAATTTTTTAAAATGTTTATCTTTTTTTGTCAAGTAGGTCAGTTAATTTATTTAAAAGATTTTTTTTAAAAGTTACTTGTTTCGTTTTCCTCTCGGTTGGTTTACTGGGCTTTTCTTTGGCCTCCTTCTTTTCCATCGCCTTTGCCTTCTTCTTGGCCTTTTTCTTTTCGGCCTTCTCCTTCAGAAGTTGTTCGGCCTTGGCCTTCTTCTCCTTTTCCTTCTCCTTGTCCTTCAGCTTTTTGGCCTTCATTTTCTCCACAGCCTTGGAGGAGCTCTTCAGCTTATTGGAGAGTTTGAAGGATCGTTTTACCATGATCACCTCCTCTTTGCCCTCGGCAACTTTTAGAGCCCGGAACATAAGACGCTCGGTTTTCTTAGGATCCGGCCACTCGTGACCATTTTCCTTAAGATAGGACATGATGGCCTTAACCGACGATCCCGATCGACTCGCCAGCTTTTCGATGGCCATGAGTGCCAGGGAAATGAGCGATGCCTTTGGTTTTGCGACCATCGGCTTGAGTGCCGCCATTTTTGACCCATCATCGGGCGGGGGAGTAGGATAAGGATGGCGATCCCTTTCAGATTCGGACTCTTGGTCTTCTCCATCCGGCTGCTCCTCACCGTCTTCCATGTCCCCCTCATCCTCCTCCAACTGCTCCTCTTCTTCGCCCAAATCGGATTCTTCGGATGCAGGATTATCATTCTGCATCTCCTCCTCGCCCTCATCGTCGGAGCTATCATTATAATCCACCGTCTTAAGTTTCATGGCAGTATGTGATCGAAATTTTTAATTTAAATTTAACAAATAACAAATTAAACGTAACAATTTTTACGACCGGCTAACAAAAATTTAACAGAACAATGACCGAAGACCGCGTGACATTGATGAAGCTGAAAGGTTGAAAAAGAAAATAACGGTACAAAAAGTTAAATCAGATTGCTGTTAAGGCGCAGAAGTACAGGTAGTACTTTAACGAGAGAATAAAAGTAAAAGTCTTTTTTATTGAAAATAAAAATAAAAAAAATATAAATATGGGCACTTCCAAAAAAAAGTCCACCAAGCCAAAAACCTTGAAACTTGAATAAAACATATTTCCACATGATTTTGCACCGATATTAGTTTCTAATTAGTTGGATACTGAGCTTAACTACAAATTTGGAATATAGTTTGATTATTTTTATGACAAACCCGACCAATATACGCAAAAATCAGTTTTTGGCAATTTTTATACCCGTTACTCGTAGAGTAAAAGGGTATACTAGATTCGTGCAAAAGTATGTAACAGCTAGAAGGAAGCGTTTCCGACCCCATAAAGTATATATATTCTTGATCAGGGTCACAAGCCGAGTCGATCTAGCCATGTCCGTCTGTCCGTCTGTCCGTCTGTATGAACGCTGAGATCTCAGAAACTACAAAAGCTAGAAGGTTGAGATTTCCCACACATATTCTTTGGCTTCCTACGCAGCGCAAGTTTATTTTAGCCGAGTGCCACGCCCCCTCTAACGCCCACAATCGCCAACTACCGATTTTAAAATGGGTCCTGCGCCCACATCTTTAAAGATTTCCGAGAAGTATAAATTCAATTTTGTTGTGTATATTTATACCTATCGAAATGTAGAAGACATTTTTCAAATCGGACCATTCATTAAAAAGTCATACGCAATCAAAAATTATATATCTATCTCCCTCGCACTCCCTTTAGCTGAGTTACGATTATTAGTCAACCCGACACAACGTTCGCACTCCCTTTAGCTGAGTGACGGGTATTAGATAGTCGGGACAACAACCCGACTATAGCGTTCTCTCTTGTTTTGTTATTTTTTGGACCTGTCTTCTGTTGTAAATTTATCCTATAGGAATGCTAATATGTGACATTTTTCTGTACTGAATGCTTCATTCACATGCTAAACTATTAAGTTAAAAGCAAAACATCCAGCAATTGAGAGATAGAGGTAAAGAAATCCGCTTTACAAAACAGTCGGAAAAAATGTCCCGAGCGACATGTCCCGAGCGAATGTGGTTGAAACTGCATAAAAAAAAAACGGCAAAGAATTTTTGAGTAAAACCAAAAGCATTTCACAGCGACATGTTTGAACAACATTCTAAAAAAATCGCATTCAAATATTCCATCAGAATTTGCTAATTTCTGGTGTTGTATGAACTTCCCCGAAATCCACTTATATTTTTGTCCCGAGCGAATACGTCAGTTTTTTACCGATATCTTAAAAACTAAAAGTGGTACAAAATCAAGATTTTTACCAAAAATAGAGCTTGGGAAAAGTGAAAAGAAAAGCCCATAATTAAAATTAAAATCCATTGTTTTACAATTTTTTTTTCAACTTTAAAGGTGTGCAAATGTCCCGAGCGACATTTTGGAAGTGCCCATATACAATTAATATTTGATTTGTCTTTTGATTTATTTAAATTTTTGGGAAGCAACAATCTACAGTCCCATATTTGTTTAATACACTGCTTCGCCTTACCGAGCGTCCACTGTATTTAAATAATGATAAAGCAAACCTCAGTAAAGAATAAATGAAAGGAAATTTTAAAAGTGAGCTTTTAAACTGTAAATAAGAAAACCAATGAAATGAAAGACTAATTCAAATGAAGCTTATAAAACTACCACGAAATTAAATCTACGCTATTTGTTCACTTTATTTACATTTATTTCTAGCTTTTTAATCAAAATATAATAAAACCAAAAATATTAGTATTTAAACCCAAAAAAATGTTTAATGACTTAGGGTTTTTTAAATGTAGCGCTCATAGTTAAGACAAATCGATTGTTTTAGGGCATATTATAACTTCCTCCATCTGGTAACACTGAAAATAGAGAAATCGATAAATGTCCGATAGATTTGGACAAAGTGAAAATGAGCGCACGGAAGGTAAACAATTTGAATTTTCTGTTATTAAGGGTGAATAATGATATAAATATGGCTTAGAAAACCTGGGTGAGATGCGCCTTCAGCGAGATGAACTTGACCGCCAGTCCGGCTCCTTTGGAAGCGACGCCAGCCAAGCGCACAAGAAGTGCCAGCAATGTGACCGCCAGAGTTTCGAGATCTCAAAGCGGGAAGTCGGGTATTTCGACGCCCACAAAGATTCCCGCGGTGGAGTCCGTGGATCTCACAGCCATTGATGATGACCAGGATGCGGACATCACTGGGCCACCGCCGCAGGTCAAGGAGAACTGGATGGATAGCTTTGCGCCGGCCAACAGCGAAGATTTGGCCGTGCATCCCAAGAAGGTCGGAGAACTTCGCGATTGGCTGCGTCACTGTGAAGCGGTGCGAAAGAAGTTCCCCGCGCAAATTTGCCTGCTCACCGGACCAACTGGAGCTGGGAAAACCGCCACGTTGCGTTGCCTGGCCCAGGAGTTTGGCTACCAGCTGCAGGAGTGGATCAATCCGGTGGATTGCGAGGTGGTCAACGCTCTGGGCGATCAGCCAAGTGGTGCCGCCTATGTGGGCTCCCATCTGGAGGCCTTCAAGAGCTTCCTGCTGCGCGCCTCGCGTTACAAATCCCTGCTGGACTCGCACAACAAGCGATTGCTTCTTGTCGAGGACTTTCCCAACGTCCTGCTCAGCGACAAGGAGGCCAACTTTGAGGAGTTACTAGGGTAGATATCAAAGAAGAAATATTTCAGAATAGTTTCCTTTACAAGCATATATCTTTTTAGGGAATACTCAACCTATGGAAAGTCCCCGCTGGTATTCATCGTGGCCGATGCCAAATCCCGGGGCTTAAACATTAGCTACCGCCTTTTTCCCGATCAACTGAAAGCCAAATATCGCATTGAGCACATCAGCTTCAATTCTATTGCATCGACAATTATGCAAAAGTCCATGAAAGCCTTCTGCTCCGTAATGCAGCAGCCGCAAAATAAAGCAACTTACAAGTTGCCCTCGTCCACTGTTGTTGACTCAATAGTTGTAGGCGCCCAGGGCGACATAAGAAATGCATTGATCAATCTGCATCTCAGTTCCTTGAAAGGAGTTCCCAGCATGCCCACCAAACAGTTGAATGTCAGTGTAGCAGCCACCAAAGGACGCAAAAAGAAGATGCAGAGCACTCTTAAGTCAATTGGTAGAGATGAATCCATTACCTTGATGCACGCTTTGGGAAGGGTGCTGAATCCCAAGTGTAAGTCACATAGAGAATAGCGCCCTTCATGAGTGGATTCAATGAATTATTTTGAATTTTTTGTTTTATATGAATTAATTAGAATTTTGAGTTTAATAGGATTGAATGAATTTGATTTTTGTGTTTAATAGAATTGAATGAATGAATGGCATGAATTCCGAAATAATTCAAACGACAATTTCTTTTGAAGAAGAAAGGGCCATAATTTTGTAATTAAATCTGTCTAAAATTTTATTTACTAAGCAGTTAAAGTTGATTTGTTAAAAATTTTCCACTTTTTGTTCTCAAAAGAAAACACAAAAAAAATCTGGCAAATTCAAAAAATTCTTAAAAATTTGTGATTTATTCATTCAATTCGAAATGAATTAAAAAAACATTCAATTTATTTCACATAGAATTTAATTAAACAAAGCAGATATTTCATGGCCACACTATGATAAATCAAAAATTGAATGATTCACGCAGGGCTCTAATAGAAATATCTCTTCTAACACCTCTAACCTCTTATTTTATTCAGTTAATGAGGACAAAAGCATGCTGCATAGCCCCGAGGAATTAACCGAAGCGTTTAATACAGAGCCAAGGAATTTCGTGAACTTTATACATGCCAATTATCTGCCACATTTTAAGGAGATCGACGAAGTTGTTCTCGCCATAAATGACTTGGGTCTGTCAGATACCATGCTCAATGAGTATCGTGATGACGCCTTGTCCGTGATGGGTCTCAACATCGCCATCAGGGGCGTTATGCTGGCCAATAGCTCCCCTGTCAGCGGTTGGATGCCAGTTAGAGGACCCAAGCGAATTAATATACAGCCACAGGCGACTGTGGCTGAACAGAGACTGGTTGGTGTGGGTTACGCGGGCATTTCCAGGACGCTTTACGCCACCGAATATAGTTCTTTGGTGAAGTGCATAGCTGGAAAGATTTCGGAGGACAAACCAAACCAAAGCATGGACTCTATTTAATTTTAGACTAATTTGTGAATAGATTTTAAAAAGATAATTTATCTGTTGAAACTTAAATATGTATACGTCCCCAGGACAAATTCAGAATCGTAATACAAACACCATTTATTCGAATTCACGATTTAACTTTTTATTTACCTACAAATCGAGTTTTCATTATACAAAATTCCATTAAAATCAACGCGTCGTGGCAACATTTTAAAGTATTGTACACCATGCAGACCAACAAAAATACAATTGGGAGGCATTGCTTGCAGTTAATAATAGTAATGCTAATGATTTTGCTTTCGAATGATGAACTGATGATTCAAATGACGCCCACAGATGACTTAAAAACTAAACAAGGTTTCTGTCCACCACAACTGAGTCTTCTATTTACACAGGGCGAAGTGAGGCACACTATCCTATTTGACCACTGCATCGCCTGGCTTGGGAACATCGCTGGAGTTGTCGTCCTCGTCCATTTGGTTGCCGTCCAGCAGGCGCTGGCGCTCCTCCTCGTTGGCATGGCCGTTGAGGTGGATGGGCGATCGGGATCTGGAGCGAGTGTGGCTCCGCTCGTGCCGCTGCTCGGCATGACCATTGGCGATGTTCAGCCCGGCCACGCCCATCTCGTGGCCATCGCTGCTCGAAGAGGATGTGCTGGAAGTGGTGCTCGACGTGGTGCTGCTGCTGTCGCTCTCGCTGTCCTCGCTGGAGGAGTCCATGGGCGTTGGCTGTGGCTGCTGAGGCGGCTGTTGTCTGGCCTGCAGCTCGCAGGCGGAGCTGGGCGTCGGGGCCACCGCAGAGGGCGGGGAGGCAGCGGCCGCTGCAGCTGCCGCCGGACCCGCTGTCGTAGAGCACGAGCGCAGGAAGTGGGAGCGTAGAACTAGAAGAGCAGATACTCTTTAGTATATGAGTGATTCTTTGTGAAACGTATCGAGATTTTCTTCATGGTCTCAAAACGATATATAATTTTTATGACACTATTACACCATTTAAAAAGTTTTTAAAAAAGTTAAAAAAAAAATCCATTTGACAGAAGCGAAGATATGACGATGCTATTTTTTGATAAATTCATTTATAATTTTAAATTACGTGGGTCAAAAAATAAATAAAAATACCCAAAAATTATTATTTTTGCCAAGCTTTCAGATAAAAATAACACCCATAATGGTTCCAGTGCAAAATATGGTTCAAGCTTAAAAAAAAATATTTCATTTGCGGTTTTTTGCAAATCAGCATTATTAATCTTTATAAAAAACAGTAAAATGTTCTATACATAATTCTTGTAATTTAAAATTATAAATGTTTCTGTTAAATGGATTTTTTTAAAATCATTTTTAAATGGTGTGATAGTGTCATAAAAATTAGAAATCGTTTTGAGACCATGAATAGAATAATAACTCATATAGAATAAAAATACCCTAAGCCTGCCTACTCACATTGATTCTCCCTATTCAGCTGGCGCATCTTCTCCTCCTGCGCCCGTAGCTTGGCGCCAAACTCCTTGGACACGTTCTGGGCCTTAGAGTAGCGATCCTCGATCTGCAGGCACTCCTGGATGAGCTCCTGCTTGCTCATCGTCTCCAGCCGCTCGAGTCGCGCCCGCTCGTAGACATTGGAGAACTCCTTGGAGAGGAAGAGCACCTGGTCCTCGGTCTGCGAGTTGAAGCAATTGTCGTCGGAGTCGTCCTTGTGCAGCTCGGACATGTGCTCCTCCATCAGGAAGCGGTTGGTGTTGTACGGCACGAGCAGGGATCGCGAGCGGACCAGCTTGGTGCGACTATTCTGGCGGGTATTCCCCTCGAGCGTGGCTCCCGCACCAGCTGGCATATCGAGTTTCCACTGTGGGTAATGATTCTTGGTCTTCTTGGGCAGCATCTTGGACTTTTTGCCCCGGCGATGCTTCCGTTTGGGCATTCCTGCTCCGCCTCCGCCTCCCCCGCTGCCACCACCTCCTCCTCCGCCGCCATCCAAAGGACGCTGCTGGACACCGCCACTTTCTGCAAATGAATCGAATAGAGAACCAAATTCAAATTGAAACCGCCAAAAAACTGGGAATGCAACTCTGTGAAACGCACAGGCCTAAGTGGAAAAAAAACAATCCAATAAGACAGTCGCCATTGGTCGCTTGCCCCTTCCAGCACTCCCCGAGTGCCGATTTTTACCTTTTTTCACAGCTTCTGCCATTTTAATTGATGTCTTTTATTAATAAACACTTTAAGCGAAAGATCAGACTGCCGTGCGAATTGGTAAGCTTGCGAAATTTATTCTGTTTTTTTTATTCTGCGTTTGGAGTGTGGCCAGGTCCTGCAACCTTAATCAAACCAAAGTTCTCCGTTTCGAGCGATCCCAAAATCCCGATTTGCTGCCCTATTAAAAATAGTGGGCGGTAAATTCAAAAAACCAATTTCAATCTTTAATAAACTAATACTAAAACCCTAAAAATATTCCATTAGCTTTTTAAAACATCAGTAAATTTTCAAAAATCCAAAAAAAATTAGTTTTAATCAATTTGAAAAGCGATTAAAGAATTAAATTCAAAGACTACCAACTTAACGAATATTGATAAGAATTCCAGAATTATTAATGGAAACCATGAATTCAGTTGAATATGTGATTATGGATTTTAGAAATAACACAGGTACACAGCAAAAAATTTCCACGAACCATTTCTAGTTTTCCATGATTATTAGGTGCTCCTGAGTAAAAGTCCCATACAAACTTATGTCCCATCACCTACAGGTTCCGCGGTATAGCTAAGAATACAAAAATCCGATGTTTGCCGACATTTCGATTTATGTGGCCGATATAATTGGACTTTCCTTAATTATTTTCGCTGAAATCTACTCTCAATACATCACGGCATTCCTAAAAAATAGTCCCCATTGTGAACCATTGCCCATGTCGTTGGAATTCGACGCCAAAGGTGAAAATCCAAAAATTGTAGAGATTTTTCTGATGGAAAAACAATTCTGAGAGTTAAATCTTGAATGGAACTAATTTTAACTATTCATTGTATCTATTGTTCATTGTATGCTTTAATTTCGGTTTAAAGCGTTTTCATAAGGACATTTTATTGGATTTCTTATACTAATAAAACCGATTTTTTGATTTCATTATCTACTCCTAAATGTTGTCAAATTTTGAATAAGTCATGGCAACCTCTAGAACTACACTCATAGAAATTTTCCGGTAAAATCGCCCTAAAAACAGGGAAAATCGCCCTAAAACGGGGGTCAATGGCGACTAGGCGACAAATCTAGGGCGAATCGCCATAAAAATAATACCAAAAAAAGCAAAAAAAAAAATTAATTAATTTTTCGATGATGGGGGGGGTGTGTGTGTGTGTGTGTTGGTTGATATTTCCTGGGAACAGGACTCAACACATACACACACACACACAGACACGAACATCGTTTCAGATAATTTGTTTCTTGAATTGTCGGCTATACCGGACGATGCTGTTGGGGGCAGGAGGCAGCAGACTTGTATAACCGCCGGTTATAACTGAAAAATCATCTTTGTAATCGAATTAAGGAGATGTATATAAGGAGAAAAAACAACTTACTTGAGAAAAACATTAGGGTGTCTCTACGAGGGTTCGAACCCACGGCCTCTCGAGTTGGAGTCTAACGGTCTAGCGCTGCACCACAGTCCTATCGAGCTATGCAACATACAAACCCTGTACACATCTTATTTTTTTGCGGTCTAAGTTATACAAACAAAAAATTGTATTTTTTGCTGGTGACTGGGATACTTTGGGCCGTTTCCTCGCATGCTTAACATAAATTAGTCTTTAAACTCAGAATTTCCATATGTATTTAGGTTTTTAAGACTACTTTAAATTTAACACGCGGACGAAAAAACTTAATTAGTAATAAAAACTGTAATAAAAAAAAAAGTGTTGACTCACACAGGAATCGAACCCACGACCTGTATTTTCAAACAGCAAAGCTGAAAGTGCGAGTGCTTAGACCGCTGGGCTACCCATTCTTACTCACTTGTCTTGACTTGTCAACTACACACACATGTACATAACATGTTTTACATGTATGTATTCATTTATTGCGTCATACAATTTCGCCCTAAAAAACAGGGCAAATTGGCCTTTTTGGAAAAACTAACCCTAAAAAATATTTTCCATGGCGATTTTTCGTATATTTAGGGCTAGCCACCCGTATAATAAGAAAATTTTTCGTAGCTTTAGGGCGACCGCGGTTTTAGGGCGACTTTTCTAGTATTTAGGTAAAAATTTCTATGAGTGTAAGAAACTAAATACGTTCACTTAACATACACAGAGAAATGTAAATGTTTACTCCCATTCTGTAGGATGCCTTGACTTTTTTAAAATTTGACAACATTTAGGAGTAGATAAAGAAATAGAAAAAACGGTTTTATTAGTATAAGAAATCCAATAAAATGTCCTCATGAAAACGCTTTAAACCGAAATTAAAGCATACAATGAACAATAGATACAATGAATAGTTAAAATTAGTTCCATTCAAGATTTAATTCTCAGAATTGTTTTTCCATCAGAAAAATTTCTACAATTTTGGGATTTTCACCTTTGGCGTCGAATTCCAAAGACATGGGCAATGGTTTAAAATGGGGACTATTTTTTAGGAATGCCGTGATGTATTAAGAGTATGTCCTACCGAAAATAATAAAGGTTAGTCCAATTATATAAGCCACGTAATTCAAAATGTCGGTAAACATCGGTTTTTTGTATTCTTAGCTGTACCGCGGAGCCTGTAGGTGATGGAAAATAATTTTGTATGGGACTTTTACTCAGAAGCACCCACATATCATGGAAAACTTGAAAAGGTTCGTGGAAATTTCACAAAGTTTAATTTTGTGTTCCTGTGTAATTTTTTTTACTGGGAATCATGATTACTGATCCATCAGTTTGATTAAATTCCTATGCTAATTTTATTTTAAAAATTTTATTTGGCACCAAACATTTACTGACATTAGTTGTAACCGCATTGGTTTTCGTTCTACGCCCTCAGACTGTCGTGGATCCAATCGATGTAGGAGGCCACTCGGGTGTAGACATCCGGCCAGTCGGGATTGGGACAGGGCACGGGACCGAAGGACACCAGGCCGCCCAGCAGATAGCCCTCGTTCTTGAACAGCATCAGTGGTCCGCCGGCGTTTCCGTGGCACTCCTTGGAATTGGTCAGCCCGCAGAGCTGGGAGGCCTGGATCCGCAACTGCTGGCCGGCGTACTTCCTCTGGCACTCCTCGATGGAGCTGATGGTCACATAGCTCTTTCGCATCCTGGGCGAGGATCTGGCCTGCCAGCCAGCCACCTCGGTGACCAGGCCCTCCAGTTCATCGGCCCGCAACTGCTTGTTGGGCAGGCAAATGGGAACCACAAAGTCATTGAGCTTGGCAGGATTGGCCAAACGGACGAGGGCAATGTCGTTGATCTGCGTTCTGTCGGTTCGATTGTAAAGCGGATGCGGCAGCAGCTCCTCGACGCCTATGTCCTGGTACGGAGGAGCACAGTCCGCCACCTGAGTGTCCTGATGGAACTGGCAGTCGGGATTCGTGCTCGTGTCCCATTCCCCCAGACGAACCGCTGTGATCTGCAGATTGCCCACCGCCGCCTGAGCCACACAGTGAGCAGCGGTTAGCACATAGCGATCGCTGATAAGCACTCCACCGCAGGCGTGGATCTTCTCATGATTGCCTGGCGGGAGAAAGTCTAAATTACTGGTCTGCATTTTAGCAACAAAAAAAACCCACTTACCTCGGGTGTATTCGATAAGAGCCAGCCAGGGAAACTCCCTGATCTTCGTATCCGTGTCATTCGAGCGCTGCCAACGAACCGTCCCGCAATCCGCGGGCAAAAGTGGGTGGGTTAGGGCTCCCAAACCGGCGGTGCTGGGGCAGCAAACCTACAAAATAACAGGGGTTCAATGAGGACTAAGACTAAGATTATAAACAAATTTGGAGTTCTCATGAAACCAAATATAAATGTAGTTGAATGATGAACAAGCTTACATTAGTATTATCTTAAAATTAAGTATTATATAAAAAAATACAAAAATTTATTTACTTAAATACTAAATAATTTGTATAATTTTTTAATTTATTGTGATAGCAATTGCGATAATAATAAATTAAAAAAGATTTATAAATAGAAATTAAATTAAGATTAGGAATAAGGGAAAAGCCTTTATAATTAAATCCATTGTTTAAAGAACCAAACTGGAAAAAACTTGAAAAACCTAAAAACTGTTATAATAAAGCCATGGACCAAGTTATCCTGCTTTCTAAATCAGAAATGTGAATAGAAATTTCACTATCTTGTTTCCCTAATAAAATCTTTTTGATTTCATTAACAAACTCTTATCTGTAGGAAATGATAAGAACCCCAGGGCTTCTTTTTTCTCTCGATCGTTTTTAGAAAACCGAAAAAATCAAGCTGAGTGAAAGTGAAAACCAGAACGGGCTTTTTTTCGTTGCGCTTAATGGATCGAGTTGTGGAAGTTCGAGTTTAATCGGGTATCTTTTTTGGTGATTCACCCACCTGGACGCCGTTGCCCCGCTCCCCGCACTGATTCTCGCGGAGAAGAGTGCGATCGCTCTGGGACGGATTCCCAGAAACCAGGATCCGCATAAAGTAGTCACAGTCCCGGATCGAAATGCAGTGACCGGTGACACGGCCAGTGGGGATTTTCGAAACACAGTTGATGGGGAGTTGAGCTGGAGGAGAATAAGTTCACTGCTAAGTTCACAGACTTGTTTACGATTTTACGACTATGCCGTATGCCGTATGCCGTATTCCGTACACACTCACCATTCGCGCCCAATCCCAATGCCAGCGCGCCGACAACAACAAGTAGAGCTGGAAAACTTCCCATGCCGGACCGGATCGATCAGATACGATACAGAATAAAGTATACAGCTAAGCGGAACGAATGAGACTGCGATTGCGACTGAGACTAACACTAAGTTCGGCCTGCGAAGTTAAGTGCCTGTGCTTGGGCCTGTGAATTACCAGAGAGACGCTTTCGGGCCGGGTTCAGATAACATAATCGTAGTTGTGCAACCGAACCGGGTGCTTTGTAGAGCTTTTTAACCCCCTGCAATACGGTATACGAATTTATTATAATTTTTAGGATTTTATACTTCAAGTAATTTGGAAATGTTAGTGAAAATAGTATTATAGCGTTTCGGGCCTATTTAATATATATTCTTGATCTGGATCACTAGCCGAGTCATGTCCGTCCGTCCGTCTGTCCGTTTAAGTGTCCGTATGAGCATTGTGATTTAGAGAGTTGGGGTATTAGATCTAAATTCCCTAGCTTCCTATTCAGCGCAAGTTTGTTATGTGAATGTGCCACGCCTACTCTAACGCCCGCAATCGCTAACGACGCTAGAATCAGTCTAGCGCCCTCATTTTTAATGATTTTGTAAAGGTGTAAGTGTGGGTTTGTATCGATTATCCATACCCATATACTCATCCAAAATTGTATAGATCAGACCATTCATTAAAAAGTTATACTCAATCAAAGTTGAGTAATGAGTAATGGGTATCTGATTTACGGGGCACTCGACAATAGCTCTCTCTAGTTCTCTCGTGTGTTTATTTCAGTAGTCAAATTAAACCCATTAGAATATATTAATAATTTAATATAATGATTATATACTACTTATTAAAACCGAATTATTATTATTAATAAATACCATTCTTATTATTTGTAGAGGTACTTGGCTTTTGAACTAATTAAATTCGATTTTTATAAATTCAGTTTAAAGTAATAAGATTTGTTAATTACTTTTGTGCTAGTAATAATTTCCAAATATTGTAGCTCCAAAAAGACTTCTTCTTATCAGCTGCATCAGTTTCAAAAAACCGGTAATTTAGGTACACCCATCGCGCGCGGTACATTTTCTGCCTCCGTCGATCTGGCAACGCCGCGTACAAACACACCCAGGTACTGGTTCCGACTGGCCGTGTGTGTGTCTGCCCGCGCGTCTGTGTTAGTGCGGAGAGTGCACAGAGCTGTCCGCCATCTTGTCAGCCCGTGTTCTCTCAGCCCGACTGCATCGAAAAATTACAAATTTAATCGTTAAACGCGTTTTATGCCCAATTAAAACACCAGAAAGTGCTGCAGTACACATTTGCCCACAGCCAGGATATCGTCTTGAGTACGCAGCGCCAAGATAAAGGGGTGAAAATTGCATTTGAAAGTGGAATTGTTGGTGCGAAGAAAATTTTTCTGCAGCAAAAAATTCCCAGGTCTGTGCTGGCGTAATTGTGTGCGTCTGCATGTGTGTGTGAGAGGCGGGACAGGGTTGCCGAGGCGCGCGCTAAAAAGCACCTTAAAGAGCTTATTCAAGACTTAATCGGGATGAATTGTCTTGAAATAGGTGCGGTTAAGTGTTTTAAACTAATTATATGGCTTGTGAATTTTTTGCGTGGCAAATAGCATGATTTCCTGGACAGTTTTTAAGTTCGCGGTGAGGTGACAACCCTATTCATGGGAAGGGTACTCAAACAACAAAAACCAAGTACGTTGCGCGGCGCCACTTTGACGTTTGAATCGTCATCAGACGGTTGGGTAAATTTTCTCGCTCTCGTCTCGTCGCTCTCGGTTTCGGCCCCAACTAAATGCGTGTGTGTGTGCTTCTGTGTGCTAGAGTGTGTGTGAGCCCGTGACGCATTCTTGTTTTGCATCAAAAGTCGCCAAAGCAAAGAAATCGAAGAAAACCAGCAACAAAGCTGCTAAAGCCCAAAATGATTATATGCCAGGAATCAAATCGTAGTTAAAATTCAATCGGCCCTGCATGTGCAACTCTAAGCGCAAGTGTATTCGTGTGTGTGTTTGTGGTGGGGGCGGGGCGGGGTGGGGCGGGCCAGTGGGGGAAGGAAGCGAAAGAGCCAACAAAGAGAACCAGAAAAAAGGGCGAGGGCGACTGGCTGGAAAGAAGAGAAGATGAGAAAACGGAAGGGGAATGGGGGGAACAAGGGAAATCATAAAAACGCCGGCAACAGCGATTCTCGAGTGCCCTCCCCTCCACAGACAAACACACCCACAAGCCACAAAAGCGAATGACAAACAAAACGCTTAACGAAATTCAAAACGCGCTCCCCACCAAAGGTTCATTTACACGGAATTCGTAATTTGTTTTGTTTAGTTTTGTGGATTTGTTTATTGGCGACATGAGGATGACCCTCCCCTCCCTCCGCCTCTTCTTCTTTAAAGTGTGTGCGTGTGTTTATATTGCCAAAAATATTCGCAAGTGTTGAGTAAAGTCCATGGGAAACCGAGACAATCGTTAACTTGGCTTAAACGGAACAGATGTGTGTGCTTTTTTTTTTTTGATACCAACAACAGCTGCCGCTCACTAGCAACAACAAAATACAGCGAAAAAAACCCAAAATTTCATACACTTTAATTAAAAACCGAAATAGTGATCGTAAACCTTGGATATTTTATTTTGTGAACGCTTTTGTTTTACCTCAATTCGTCTTATAATTATTATTATAGCACGGCTATAAAATAATAGTTATTACATTATTGCCTGTGATTTTTTCAAGAAACGAAAAAAAACGCTAAGGTCAAAAAGCCTTGGAAAAAGTTATTTTGAAGATTAAACATAAGTGCTATAATAGAATAAAAAAGAAAAAAAACGCTAAGGTCAAAAAGCCTTGGAAAAAGTTATTTTGAAGATTAAACATAAGTGCTATAATAGAAAGGGAAGAAAAGTTTTTATTTTTTATGGATCATTAAAATGGAAAAATGTTGGACATGGTAAATTAAAATAATCTTTTGGTTTTTATCATATCATAAAGATAGAGAAATGGTACCTTGAAAATATAGTTCATTTTTGATTTTGCAAATATTTATTTTGATATTTATTTAAATAATTCAGTGATTCACATTTAAAAAAACATTAATGTTAATCCGCTTTTAACCGCAAAAAGCTAAGAAAAGAGACACAAAGAATGTGAAATCCAAATAATCGCTCATGAGTCATGATGATTTTGGGTTTCTTTGCAGCCGAAGATAAATGCTCTCAGATTTCGGCAGCACTTCCAAGAATTCTTGGGGTTTCCAAGGGTCCCCTTTAGGCAGTGTCCACTGTACCATTGCTCTGGAGGCAGAGACCCACTCTGTGGGAAGTGGACGGGCCTACGTGCGATGTAAAAGTGGCCAAGTGGAGCTGCAGATGGAGTTCGTTTGGCTTCGCTGGCTGGCTGAATAAACTGAACCGCATGTCTGGCTCTTGGCTTTTACCCCATACCCCGTTTCACCCCATCATCCATCTGAATCTCCATTTCCAGCTGCCTTTGCGGTGGTTCAGCCTCCCCCCGTCCCGCCCTTCAGGTTTCCCCCACCCGATCGTCATTATATTACGTTTTCTTTTCTTTTTGCGCTTTTTTTCGCTTTGCACAATTTAGCCTTCAGTTTCCGGTTATGAAGGAAGCAGCAAACGGGTTCGGTCCCGGCCTCTCTGCCTCTTTCCCCATTCGCGGCCGATGTAATGTGCATTTAAATGCAATTTCTGCTGTGCGTCAATGTCGATGAGTCTGCAAATAGCATGAAAGCGCGCCGAAAATATGGGAATCATATCTCACTCTTATCGCCGCCGTAACGTAACGTGTTCCGCACATCAAAACACAAGTCGATCATCTTTATTTTTAAACATTACTTGTTTACTTTACGAATAATCACTATCTTATCAATTTGATTCTTAATCATTCTTATTTTATAAAGAAACTGCTACATGGTGATAGTTTGATGGGAAGGATTGGGTAAAAGTATTATGTTTAATTCTTCATATTATCGTTATATTGTAACCTAAAAGAAATTAAACTTTGTTTTTAAATTTTTAAGTTTTTTTTATGTTTTTTATTAATGTAACAGACCGTTTTGATTTGGTTTTTTGTGCATTTGTATCTTTGTTATCAACAGTTGTCGACAATGTTGTAAAGTCCCTAACATAATACCTGTTGAAATATTGAGAAACATTTTTACAAGTACATAAACAAGGGTGCTCTGCTGTTTAATAGGGTGTTAGGGCCAGGTATTTACAAAAGTGTTGCAAATGAATGCCTAGTTTTTCAACTGTTCAACTGGTATATTTTCCAGTTCTGGTGTTATTTCATGCTGCCGTAGCTCAGTGAGCGTAACGCCTGGAAACGCTTTGCTCTCGTAATTAACCTCTCGACCGGCTTTCTGCCTGCCTGCCTATCTGCTTACCTGGTTGCTTACTACCTGGCCAAACCTACCAAAAACCCAGCAGACCTTTGAGCATTCGTGTTCCACGACATGCGTTTTCCTCGCGGGTTTTCTTCGTTCCAAAGGTGCCTCAAAAGTTTCCATTAATATTTAAGAAGCAGCAGACGACTAATCGCCTTGAAAACCCATGAACATGATCTATTATTCCATTGCTGCTGCGTTTTCACATCAAGTATTCTATCAGTAATCGAGTCGGCACTTAATTTAAAGTCTTTAAATTAAAGAATCTAAAATTGGAAATGACTCACGTACTATTCTACGAACAAAGTGAAGCTGATGTACTGTGCTCTTTTCATGGTTTCCATCATCAACTACTCACTTGGTATTTGATTTGATTCCATTCAAATACCATCTATGATTCCTCCCTATAGTCAGTTTTATCTATATGCTATTGAAATACTGAAAAATAGGTTAATCTGAATGCCATTTCCCATTTTGTACATTGTTCGATTGGTGTTGCAATGAATAGTGATTACAATTCTGAAAGACATTTGATTTCATGGTTCCATTAGTCTGACATCTATTATTTCGCTTCCTAGCCACTCTTCGCTCACTATAAAGTTTAGAGACTAAGAATTAAGCATCTAAAGATCACTGATCTCAGATTTTTTTTAGTTTCCAGCGGCTATTTGTAAGGTTTCTACCCGCTTGACTTGTACTTTTTGTTCAGGTTCGATGGCTTGTCTCTGCAGCTTTGACTTCTTTTGTCTCGGCGTTCTTTGGCTTTTCTTGTTTTCTCGTTTCTTGTCTCCGCTTCTTATCATTCGAGCGTGTTTCCAAGTTGGACCAAAAAACGAGTTAACATTTAAGACCTAAAATGGCCAAAAACCAAGCGACTGGCTTGGTGGGGATCGCTCGAAAGAACAAGAAAAGCAAACAATAACAAATTCCCAGCATCGTCATTATTTGCAATTATCGACAGTTTGCTTTTGTGCGGTTTCCTCCTTCTCCCTCTCTCTTTTGTTTGTACGCTAAAATCTTGGACTTCGTATTCGTCTGCGGGCTTTGAGATCAAAAACCTTTACTTGGTGTTATTGAGGTATACTATACCGAGTGGAAAAAATCGATGTGATAAATCGACAAGAATGTTTTGTAGGGTATATTAAGAGCAATTCATTACATCGAAGTAAAATGTTTATTAAGAAAGTATTCTATATCGATTTAAAAATACAAAGTTTAAAACGCGAATTCTTAAGCATTGCAATAAAAATTTCATGTGTATTATAGTGCGATGTTCCGTTCTTGCGTGATTTTCTGACAAGAACGTTTTGTAGTACCTATAGATAAGATATCGGTAGGGTATTATTTGACATCCCCAACGGGAGTTGTTTTATTTATGGAGCATTTGTATGTACGAATGTATGTTTGGAGTGTATTCGCTAGGCCTTAGCCTTAAAGATCTTTCAATGTCTTCCCGCAGTTCGTCGGATGAATAAGTAAAAATAGGAAGCATAAACAAAGGTGTCACGTACACTGCTGCACTCACACGTACAGCAAAGGAGTCGTGTTGAATGCGTTAGTGGGTGTGGAAGGGGGGATTCTGATTCGGATTTGGCTTTGTGAGGCGAAGTGAAGTAAAGTGAAGGGAACTACTGGCAAATGCTTTCAAAGTCATTTCCTTCTTTCTCGGAAAACGTAAAGAAAGCATAAACAAACAAAGAAGCATTCCACTCGCAGCTATAAGTTGGATAACTTGTTCTTCCCGAGCTTGTGTTCGCATATTGTAATCATAAAATACTTGCCTCCCCAGCCGGAATGGAAATCAATATGTGCGAAACTAATCAAAAGCTGTAAAGCGAATGAAAACAATGAGCACACTGAGCGGAAATGTGAAATATCCCCCCTCTCCCTCATATTTCTTTCCTTATATGGTTATGGAATGTTATGGTGTTGTGTTGTGTAATTGCACCGAATCATTCTCATGTATTTATCCATTTCTTCCCCGATTCTCTGGAAAGTCCAGCAATTCGCCCCCGATTTGCGCTTATCTTGTTACTCTTCCTCTCCCGTTTTTTTCTTTCACCGCCTCTGTTTTCTTTCTCTGCCCCAATAATTGCTGTTTCGCTAAGTTCAATAAGATTAAAGTATTCCTACGCAGTTGTTTTTGGTTCGTCTTCCATATATTTGTGCATACAAACGTGCTTCTTTGATTTGCTTAGCATGCAAATTTGTTGAATTTTTTTTTTTGCTACGGTTGGTCAGCCAACAATGCTGGTCAAGACAAAAGCTGCGAAATGTAAAATTATTCAAAACTTTTATTCTGAATTAAAAGTTTCGTATGGCAAGCTAAATAATATAATAAAAATTTATTTTAGAAGTCGAATTGGCTCTTAAATAGTATAAATATATTCTATTTAAACATTAGTGTTTATTAGTAATTTTCACTGATAACTACATAGTTATACCCGTTACTCGTAGAGTAAAAGGGTATATTAGATTCGTGCAAAAGTATGTATCAGGTAGAAGGAAGCGTTTCCGACCCTATAAACTATATATATTCTTGATCAGGATCACTAGCCGAGTCGATCTAGCCATGTCCGTCTGTCCGTCTGTCTGTCTGTATGAACGCTGAGATCTCGGAAACTACAAAAGCTAGAAGGTTGAGATTTTCCACGCATATTCTTGGGCTTCCTACGCAGCGCAAGTTTATTTTAGCCGAGTGCCACGCCCCCTCTAACGCCCACAATCGCCCACTTATGATTTTAAAATGTGTCTGGCGCCCACACCTTTTAAGATTTCCGAGAAGTATAAATGCAATTTTGTTGTGCATATTTATACCTATCGAAATGTAGAAGTCATTTTTCAAATCGGACCATTCATTAAAAAGTTATACGCAATCAAAATTTCTATATCTATCTCCCTCGCACTCCCTTTAGCTGAGTTACGATTATTAGTCGGGACACTAACCCGACTAGTGAGTGACGGGTATTAGATAGTCGGGACACAAACCCGACTATAGCGTTCTCTCTTGTTTTATGTGTAAATATTATTTACTAAAATCATAAAAAAGTAATTCGTGTCAGTGAAACCTTGAAAGCAAAGTCCTATAATTTTGACCGCAAGTGTTTTCGGGCGATTGTTTGTCTGGGTTTATTATTTTTAATTATTGCGATTTTGCTGCGCTATCAGCGTTTGTATTTGTTATTAACGGCGGCGGTGCCAAGCGGCACCCAAAGCAGAAAATAAAAGAGAAGAGATGGGGAGAGCAGAGCGGAGCGGAGAAAGGGGAGGAGAAAGAGGCGAAGAAAGAGGGGGAGGGAAGGGGCAGAAGCGAAGCGGAAAGAAAGCAACGAACGATTCACTTGAACTGGTTTCGGCGAGCAGATTTATTTATTTTGATTGTAGTTTGTTTTTATTATGGCATTCGTTTGCCACGGCTGTAGGTGTGTGTGTGTGTCACTGCGTGACTTTGTGTGTTTGTGAAAGGAAGAGAGAGAATGTGAATGCGAATGTGTGCAAATGCATTTTGGCAGAGAGCACGTGACAACGCCCATTTATGACGTCTCCCTTTGAACTTTGTAAGCTTATTGATTTTGTAACATATTTTCAAATTGCAGGTCAAGTAACAGGAGATAACAACACAACAAGAGAGCAACAAAGGCAGCAGCAGAAGGAGAAGAGCCGACAGAAAGGAAAACAAAAGCGGCAACGGCAACGGCTTCACATTGGACATGTCATGTCAGCAAGCCTCCAGATTCCATTCAGCCACCGCAACAGCCACATTAGCCAAGAGCACAGCCACCAGAAGGTTAGCCACAGTAGCAGCAGCCGCAACAGCGATAACCGCAGCAACAGCAGCAGCAGCGCTGACGCCGGTGGAGAGCCTCATTGCCGGCAAGACGACGTCCGAGGACTCGGATCCCTATGCATTCACAGAGACTGTGGCCGTCGCACCGCCCATTTTATTCAATGCACAGGTAGGGACAACCACAATAGTTTTAAATCTAGATCACAGATCTATAGATCATCGTATGTTACATAATTGGATTAAACATCAAAGTTTATAATTACTGGAAATCGGAATATTAAAATAATTATTTCACCTTTAATCATTCATTACTCCAGATCCATAGATCAAATCATTGTGTATTATATAATTGGATTGATCATCAACGTTTATAATTAAAAAAGTCATCCAATCATGTATCAATGGAAATCGGATTAATAAAATATTGTTTTCACGTATAATCCGAAGTCTACCATTTAGTAATAAATGTTAGAAAAACCTATAAATAATAATAATGTTCTGAAAATGTGGTACCATATGCAATACTTTCTCTAACATCTATGTTGATGTTTTCAGTCTAATTAAAATTGTTATTTATAACAAGTTTCAAGTATTAAATATTGCAAAATGTTTTTGAAACATATTTTTATTTTTGAGTAAAAGCTCGAAATTAAATTAAAATGTAGCTATTAAAGACAATTTGGAAAGTTGATTGGATGTACATTCGGGAAAACATTAATTTGGTACAAGTCGTCCTTGTCAGCTTTATAGTGGATAATGGTTCTAAGAATAATTGTATCTTATTATACTGGTTTAACATTTTCGAGAGTATTAATTGGCACATTCAATAGGATCATTTAATTACCAAGTTAAATTATTTTGACAACAGTAAGAACTTATATTAGTTACCTAGTATTCACAATATATTTTGAGGCTATTATTCATAAACTTCTTATTTATGAGTCCCCCCACAATAATTTTAATAAATGTCAGAGTTATGCTAATCAATTGGCAAACAAATATCGGGATGTAGATTGCAAAAACAATTGGTTTCAAATTGACAACCTGAACTTGAAAAAAAACACGTTTCCAAAAGCAACCCCCCAAACCAGCTTTAAAAACGTCTTTAATATTCAGCCCCTTTCAATCAGCCCTTTTAACCAGTTGTTTTGCTCACCTCTTGCAGAAATCGAGAGCCCGCCTAAGCGACACGAATAGAGGCAGCAACAAGAGGCAGACGGCAGCAACAGCTGCGGCCAGCAGGAAGGCGAATTTGGTGGCACAACTGAATGCCACCGCAGCGGCAAAGGCGCAGGCGTCTTTGACGAATACCACAACGAATTTCCATCATGTCACGCAATCTCAGAGACAGTCGCCGGCGTTGCAGTTGCAGCTGCCGCTGCAATCACAGTCGCAGTCGCAGGCCTCGCCGAAGCGAGCCACCAACGTGTGCATAGTCCGCCCGCAGCAGCAGCAGCTGGAGAAGATAGCCACCTCGGAGTCCTGCCAGCCGCCGGCGGCACCGCCTCCGCTTTACGCCCACACTCCATCTCTGTGGCAGACGCCGCTGCTGCTTGACAACGGGCAAAAGCAACCGCAGCAGCAGCAACAGCAGACGCAGAAGAAACATGTCCAGCATCAGCAGCAGCACCTACTGCAACATCTCCCGCAGCATCAACAGCAGCTGCTCCTGCAGCAACACCAACAGCTGCTTCAGCAGCAACAGCAACAACAGCAACAGCAGCAGCAGCAAACCGTTGCCATTGCGTTGGTCAGTCCGCCCACATCGCCCGCCTCACTACCTTCACCCACTCTGCCGCCAGCCACAGCTGCAGTGACCGCCATGGTGGCTCCGATCTCCGTGTCGCCCAAGGGTGGATTACCCTTGCCACCATCGAAATTCCACCACACCACACTGGCGCAACACTTGCAGAAGGTGGAGTGCTTGAAGAAGAAGAAGTCCTTGCCACTGTCCTGCCAAAACAACAACAATAGCAAGTTGCAAAACAACAACAATGTGGTGGAGTCGCTTAACAAACAACTGGCGGTGCAGGGAGCGAGCTACAATCAGTCTCAGCCGCCACCGCTGATGGTTTTCAACACGGGAACAGTTGCAGTTCCCGCGCAGACGCCACAGATTGCTGCTTCACCGAAACATTCCACCGGCAACAGCGTGGATGACAGCGATCTCAACGAGATACCCGTCAATGTTATCTTCCGAACGCCGCCAGCGGCAGGAGGAGCGGTGGGAGCACCGCCGAATGGAACTGGACGGGGAGCGGGAGTGAAATTGGTGACCCCTCTAACGCCGCCCACACCACCAGAGATCAGCACACCGCCTTTGCTCGCGCAAATGCAACCGCAGATGCCCACATCTTGTGTTCCAGCTTTGGCGCCCAGCTTTAAAGTGATGCCACCAGCAGTTCTCAGCACGAAGGTGGTACCTGCACCACCAGCAGCTCCTCCGAGCTCAAAGCTCTCGGTTGCGTCAGCACCTGCTGTTCCAGCAGCCACCACAACCTCATCAGCACCCGCATTAGCCAAGAAAACTGAACAAATGTCTTCCAAAGTGGCCAACATAAACGCCGCCAACCGTCAAGCGCCAATTGCTGCAAAGGGCGGCCGAAAGGGCATCACTAACAATAGAAACAGCAATGTAGGAGCAAAGAAAACGCCAACGTCAACTTCGATGCCGCCTCCACAGGAGCCGATTGCATTGTCCGCGGATACCGCTCATCGTCAGCGACGCCGCAAGCCCGCCTCCAAACGCAACTTGGCAACTCTGAGTGAGAATGAAACCTTTTCCGCCGACTCGCCCTATTGCCTGCAACAGCACTGGCTGCACTGTGGACCCAAGGATCAGACGCATGAGTCACCGCTATCGCAGAGCAACCGGCGTGAGGAGCGGATTGCGGTGCGTAAAGGAGTCTTGAGGCGCCAGGCGCTGCAGTTGCTGTCCACCAGGTCGTTGCAAGAGCTACCCATGCGAGCGGCCAAACAGCGGTTGCAGTGCGTCCAAAACATGCTGATCAAGTATCAGGATCACGCGGGCCAACAGCAGGGAATGTGAGTATAATGTAAACATATTTTTTTCCAATTTGTTCCTATCGACTTTTGTATTTTTGCAGTGGCATTGGCAACCGCTGTCTGGTGGACAACTGCAAGCAGCCCACGTTGAGCATGGCGGCGCACTGTGAACGCCACATTGTGAACAACAGCACCCAGCAGCTTTTCCAGCCCTGCGTCGCCTGGCGAATGGATGGAACCGCCTGCCAGGCGCCTGTCTTCGATGTGCTGCACACCCTGGCCCTTTGCAAGGTGCACAGCCACCTGCGTTCCGGCACGGATGCAGCCCGTCCAGCACCGAAACCGGTGGCTTTACCCGTTGCCGGACTCAACACGCTTTGTGTGCCCGTGAAGCAGCAGCGTAAGCGCAAGGCAAACACAAATCCCGTGGCTCGTCCGCAGAAACGCGGTAGAAAGCCGGCGAACGAATCAACTGTGTACCAGATCAGCAGGCAGCAGATAAACACACTGCCGCTGATTCCTTCGGCGGGCATGCAGCGCAAGAGCAGCACCACCTCGCTTGAGTCCATTGCCAGCAACTCGCACTCGTCGGCCACCTCGCACTCTCAGCCGCCCTATACGCCCGCAAATGTGTCGGTGGCGGTTCCTGCAGCACAGAACTTGCCCCAGATATCCATTCCACCGGCGCTGGCTCCACTCAGCGGTGATTTTCAGCCGAAGCAGCAGCTACAGCAGCAGCAGCATGAACCGCTGGTGGTGCCCAAATTGGAGGTAGATTCGCTGTTTAAATTCGAGGCCGATCAACAGCAGCAGCAGCAACCAGCTCTCCTTTCGCTGGACAATGCCAATATCAAGGCCGAGGAGATTAGCCAAATTGTGGCCCAATTGGCAGCGGCCGGTGGTGATTTGCCCCACCACAATAACAATAACAACAGTAGCAACCATAATAACAATAGTGTGCACTTCAACAACAACAATAATTTGAACTATAGCAACAATAACAATAACCAGCACAGTTTCCCCTCGTTCAATACGGCCTTCGGCAATGCAATGGGCCAGCCAACTAACACAATCACGCACAATGGCCATGCTGCTCCCACTATTTTGGCCAATACAGCCGATTTGCTTGGCCAGGATATGTTCGGCATTTGCGAGAATAGTTCTGCATACGCCAGCTCGGAAGACACCGGTCTTGGTGGACTGAGCGAGTCGGAGCTGATCGGCGCTAACGATGCTGGTAAGTTTCAAATCGAATTTGCTAGCAGATACATTTTGTGTAACTCCCAAATAAGGAATAGAGCCCTGCATGCATGGATTCAATGAATTATTTTAAATTTTTTGTTTTATATGAATGAATTAATTAGAATTTTGAGTTTAATAGAATTGAATGAATGAATGGCATGAATTCCGAAATAATTCAAACGACAATTTATTTTGAAGAAGAAAGGGCCATCATTTTGTGTTTAAATCTGCATGAATTTTATTTTCTAAGCAGTTAACATTGATTTATTAAATATTTTCCACTTTTTTTTCTCACCAGAAAGCACAATAAAATTGTGTCAAATTCAAAAAATTCATAAAAATTATAAAAATTTCATTCATTCAATTCAAAATGAATTAGAATTGAAAAATTTTTTGAATTTGCCAAACATTTAATTTATTACACAAAGAACTGAATTAAACAAATCAGAAATTTCATGATAAAACAAAAATTGAATGATTCACGCAGGGCTCTAGTAAGGGAGTACAAAATATCTCCTGTAGTTCTGCAGAATTCTAAGCGCCTTATTTTCCTTGCAGATGACATAGCATTGAACGGTGCCCACTTGCTGGAGGAGCACGATCTGGTAAATGTGTTCGACACGCTGCCGGACGATGCCTTCAACGAGCTCTTCCAATCCGGTGTGTATTTAACCACAATTTTACTTGTTCAGCTTTTCATTGTACTAATCCATGTGTGCATCCGCTGCCACCGCCATCGCCATCGCCTTGGACCTGTGCCGATGCAGTGCAACAAGCCGAGTGCGAGGCCATGGACCGGGCTTTGGAGATCGCCGATAAGAACCTCAAGTGTCTGCAGCAGACGATCGGCGGCTCGGCGGACAGCGCCTTTCTTAACGATTTCCTGGACGTTGGCGACGATCTGCTGGCCGATGCTGTGATGCACTCACCGAACACGTCCGGCATAGATGCCGCCACTCTGTTCGTGGATAGCAGCAGCGGCGGCGGCAATAGCAGCAGCAACGGCGCCTCCGATATCCGTGGCTTGGTGCAGACCTAATTCCGGCATCAGGTCGGATTTAGGGCCTACAGAGTTCACTGAATTTTCAACGGAGAGAGAGAGATTTTCCAAGCTTAATTTCCCTTCACACTTTCGGGCAGCTTTCGCTAAGATTTTCGGTATTTTCCTTTTGGCAATTCTGGTTCCGCACAATCTTCTATATGCTGCTTAAAAGTTATATGCATAATCCAGCAAATATGCATTAATTAAATAACATTCAAAAATCATATAGTTATGCGTTAATGTGAAAAACTTACAAAAAAAAAATTACAAAAATTAAAAAACTTCGAAAAAATGTCCAAAAATATTTAATTCAATTTAAAGAACAACAATAAGAATGAAATGTATATGTAATCGTACACAGAAGCATAATTATGTAAATTCGCGGGAAGCTGTAGCATTACATAACTCTTAAAGTAACCTAATTTGTTAGTGAACCGAACAACAAAGGATTGTAGAGAGCAGCTTTATTATACATATAAATGAAAAATTATAGAAAGATACCGGAGCAAACAGATAAAATGAAACCGAAATAGTAGGAAATCTAGCAACAAATTTGAATTCTGAATTAACTGCACGAACGCGATACATTGAAGAGTTCGTTAACCTAAGTAAGCCTAGAATTTGTTTAAACATTTTGTGAGCGCATTTACAACAAGAACACCTTACACTCAAAACGATAATTGCAATCAATTTCAAGTAAAACAAGAGAAGCAGAAGAGTTTTAGTTTGGTTTAGTTCTTGGTTTGCACGTAACACACACACACCCACACCAACACCTACACACACATACAACGTACAAGGGACTAGTTTGAAACCGCGAATCGTATTACTAAATATATATACAACTATATATACTTATATATAAAATATAACTATATATACATAATACTACTTAAATATATCTGTACACATACATTTAAGTGTAAGCTTTAATTTAAACCAACCCACAAACAAAGAAAAGAAAAATCTATAACAAAAAAATCCACAGAATGTAAAAGTGTATACTTGATTTACTTTTAAGCTCTTTTATTTAGCCATTGCGCCATGGCCGAAAACTTTGTTCGATTTTAATTTAGCCTAACAAATTTTAAAAGCAAAATTAGGCTGACCGACAATTTTTGAGTTCTTACCTTGCGTTCGTCTATCTAGATTCTGTAAATTAACAAATATTAAATAGAACATAAATGAAATGTAATTTTCTTTAGTCTAGTGACAAGCAACCACTTATAAAACGAGATATATTTATACAACAATACACAAAACAAGCAAGAAAACTGTTACGCTTTAAAATACGATATATACCACTCACTGGAGCCCGATCCCGAAATCACAACCCTCAGAAAAGAAAATCGTTCAGACCCCAACCATTCCATCCCCATCCATTGTAAGATTTCATTTCTCATCCGACACATGGAATCTAAGCAAGTATTAAATGAATGAAAAACGTTTAATAACACTAGATAACTATGTATTTGTATATGTATCACGCATCGACTTGGCATTATGTTGAAGCACTTTTCGCACACTCGAACACATGCATCTTTCATTGGGATTTTCGTTTGGGCCGTGCGGAAATCGAACGATAGGAGCAGAAAGAACTACTTTAAACATAATGGAACTCTGTAATATATGATATACGATTAACTCCCACACTCTCACTCTCTATCTGTAAACCCTATCTAGATATAAATGAATGAATTCGTTCTTGAGTTAGTTGACTACCGATTACTGGGTCGATTACTGATTAAGTTGGCCCGCACTCTACTCTGATCTACTTCGCTGTGCAAGTGACGCGAACAAAATTTATGTTTTTTTTAGTAGCGAAACTACGAAACCATGTATTTGACTATATGCTTTAAACCCTATTTTTTACAACACTTTACTTTACTTTGTAAGAACTGTAGCGATGAACCTACAACCCCATATCCCTCCAGTAGCCGCCTCGTTTCCACCATTTGAAGTTTTGTCTATGTTTTCGGTATGAGGTACAATTTCATTTTGTAATTTACGTGCATTTTTGTGATCTAATTTGTGTAACTATTATAAACGAAAAAAAAAAAAAACAAAATACTTTAAGAAAACGAAACAAAAAAAATAAAACAAATCGAAGCAAATGAAAAAAAGAATTGATTGATTTTATGGCAACTGAATATTTTACCCTGAAAATATAATACAATATTTTTAGTAAAAAAACCAAAGCACCCAGGCTTGTCATTGAACCATGGGGAACTGATAACTGGGCGCTGGGAACTGTGGCCGGGGATCTCAGCAGGCGGTGGCCAGACAATCAGAGCCTTACATTCGTTTAACAACATAATTTTCTCCTAGGAAACAGTTCGTTTGCCCTGACACATACTCCGTGCAACTCCCGAAAACAAAATACAAAAACATTCGCAGAACCGCCGATTAAGAAACCACCCGCAAAACCTGCCAAGGTTTTTTTCAGTGCGTTTCATCGAGTTGCGGTCGAGCGTTTAAATTCAGAGGTTACATTGAAAATTATTGTTTTCTATTTTGTGTTCCTCGCTCGACCAACAATCCAATCGAATCGGAGGGAGCAATCGGAGTCCAAAGCCAACTGACAAGATCTGTTCCGGATCTTCCCCGTGTTTTAAGGTGAGTGGTGGTGCCGGTTCCTGTTGCCCGTCTCCTATTCCAACGATTATCATCGCATCATATCTCAGCAGGCGTTCCGTTTGCTCTCGATTGTGATGCATACAAATGCCTATCTGAGCTGCCGACTCCCCAATTAGTCTTTCTTTTTGTACGTTTGTAAGCTGGCGCCAGTTTTGAGAGCGGCCCCGCGGGGACACCAAAGTAAGTGGTAAGTGGATGCCCCATGCTTCTCCAATCTCCTCTAATGCTCGCCTTTGCTCCAGTTGTGCTCTATACGTATATTTTTTATATCATCATTGCTGAACGCCTGTCCACTATTTTCTATCTAAGGACCTAAATCAAAGGTGAGTAAACCATTAAAATATTGGTCCCTTAACTAAATAAAATGGTAGATTCATTAAAATATTTATATTTATAAGAGATACGATTCAATATTCATTTTCCGCTTTGGTATTCTTTAATTTATACATATTACCTTTTAACCAAAGGTGTTAATGCTAACATATAATAGCATTAGTGAATATAGACTTGAAAGGGCTATTCAAATACTTTAAACATCGCCACAATCTAGTTATACCCGTTACTCGTAGAGTAAAAGGGTATATTGTATTCGTACAAAAATATGTAACGGAGAAGGAAGCGTTTCCGACCCTATAAGGTATATAAATGATCACTAGCCGAGTCGATATAGCCATGTTCGTCTGTCTGTCTGTCCGTCTATATGAACGCTGAGATCTCGGAAACTACAAAAGCTAGAAGGTTGAGATTTCCCACACATATTCTTGGGCTTCCTACGCAGCGGAAGTTTATTTCAGCCGAGCGCCACGCCCCCTCCAACGCCCATAATCGCCCACTAACGTTTTTAAAATGTGTCGACCACACCTTTAAATATTTCCGAGAAGTATAAATGCAATTTTGTTGTGTATATTTATACCTATCAAAAGGTAGAAGAAATTTTTTTAATTGGACCATTCATTAAAAAGTTATGCGCAATCAAAAGAATTGTATACATCCATCTCCCTCGCACACCCTTTAGCTGAGTGACGGGTATTAGATAGTCGGGACACCAACCCGACTTTAGCGTTCTCTCTTGTTTTTTTCTGATTTCTTTACTATAAAGTGAAGAATTCCGAATTCAAAAGATTTAATAGGTGTTATAGTCCTTCAATTCCTCTTAACTTTATTGTTTCTATATTGAAGGACAAAAAGTCATATTAAATGTCAAAAAACAATTTATCCAAATATATATGATCTCTGATAATCATGGTTTTATTAATACAAGTTCCTTATTTTGTACGAATTCGCATGCCATAGGACATAGCTAGACTAAAACTGTGTTTCGACTTCGATATATTTACATGGGTTCTACAAGCTTATCTTAACCTAAGCCTAGTCTAAGTACAATAAATAGTGCGGACTGTTTGTGCTATAATTCCGTGGTCTCCAGTTTTCGGGCCAGGATCTGAGCATTGTTTGTCAACTTGTCGATTTGGTTGTACAAATTAAAGTGTCGATTTAGATCGTTGCTGTTGTTGAACAGCTTGGCGGTTCCTTTTAGGGTTTCCTGCATATCCTGCGTAGCTACCGCCAGAAAGTTATCATCCAGAGAGTCGTGGCCACCAATGCTAGGGGTTTGTAATATGATAAATAAGTACAGGTTAAGATCAAGTGAAATTTGTCTCTATCGCACCTGCCGGTTTCCTCTGATTTGAACCACTCGTTGTCGTAGCCCTTTAGCCAAATGGGATTTGAGCCTTGGACACTGTGCTTGTTTGTATTCGGCACTCGAGTGGCTGGCTCCTGAGTGTGTTGCAGGGACATCGAAGAGTGACCCCCTTGAAAGGATTAGAGTAGAAATTAAAGTGATGATTTATGGTTGCTAAAACCATATCTTAACCGGGCACTTACGGAAAATATTGACTTTTGCGGCTCTCAGCTGCCGACGGTAGCCATTCCTCTGGGACGCACAAAGCGCTATGGTGACCACCAAAAGAGTGGCCAGAAATAGGTTGGTGAACACCAGCCACACGAACAAAGGACCTCGGACAGGTCCTGCGGTCAGGAGCTGAGCCTCCGCCGCCTGAGTGTCCAGCACATTAAGCTCCTTGAAGAGACCGTCCAGGCTTTCGATGTGCGAATCAATCAGCTTGAGCACCTCGGATACCTCGTAAATGGAGTTGTCCTCGCGCTCGACTAGATGCATATACAGATCCGTCTTTGTCTTGTCCACCGAACCATCCTTGTTTTCGTGAACCTTAATCTCATCTATGTTGACAATGGATTCCGTGATGTTGCCCAAGGTGCTAAAGGTTTGAAAGTTACATAAGATGGTTTCATTGATAGGAACAGCTTTACTTACTCCCTGAAAGAGTCCACCCGTGATCGCAGTTCATCCGGCTGGAGTCGGAAGACAAAGCGCACCTTCTGGTCCTCTCTTAACAAGTAGATAAACACATGGGCCACATCCCTCATTCCCGAGGTGTCATTGGCCAGCACCACAAAATCGAAATACCCCTTCATACCCTTCTGCGGGTCAAAGTTCAGCTGTACCTCTCCCGTTTCTGGGTCGAGAAGAAAGGGGGCCTTGCGCACATTCTCCAATCCTTCGGAGAGAGTCTGACGGATTTCACCAACTTGGTAGTAACCGATCTTTCCGTACTCCCCCTCATCTGCATCCGTGGCCTCAACCCGCATGAATTTCAAACCGAAATCGGCATTTGTCGTAATGCCACCAGTAAAGATTTTGGAACGGAAACGCGGCGGATTATCATTGATATCCAGCACTCGCACCTTGACCTTCACCACAGTGCTATCTGATTCTCGATGGGTGGGTGCGTCGAGTCCCGCCGAGTGATCCTCCTGACTGCCATCATAGGTCTCATAGGAGGCCAACTCACCATCTTCCCCTTCGTATTCGTTAGTCTCCGTGGATCTCAGTTGTCGAGAATGCTTGAAGCGATCGTAGCCACCTTGCTGATTATGCAGAAAGCCTCCCAATCTATTGTTGATCTCGATACCCATACGACGGCGCTTTTCTACACCCGTCAAGGAGTCATTTCCACAGTTTTCTGTGGCTCGCACATAAAGCGTAAAGTTTGCCACCACCTCACGATCCAGTTCGCGATCAACAGTCAGGATATGAGACTCCGGATCGAGGCGAAAATAACCCGCCTCATTTCCATTCACAATAAAGTAGCAAACCTGGTTGGGCGTCTCATTAGGATCGTCCAGTTCCAGCTGATCTTTGTCTATGGTGTCCGGCAGCTTTATCCTTTCGGAACCCGGATCCGAGTGCTCCGTAAAGTTCACGGATATTTCGTTAACAATAAATTGCGGCTCGTAATCGTTCACATTACGCACATAGATGGTGAGGTCGAGGTCTGAACTCAGGGAGGTGGGTAGACCCTGATCGTAGGCTTCTATGCGGATCTGTGATTAAGGAAATATGAGTACAAATAGTCGCAATAATTGGGTTAAACCTACCTCGTGAATCTTCTGCTTTTCCCGATTGAGTGGCTCTCGCAGGAAGAGTTCTCCTGTGTTGCCGTTAACCTCAAACATTTTGTAGCTACCCAAGGGATCGGGTTTGAGGCGATATCGCACCAGTGCATTCTGCCCCATATCTGCATCACTGGCATAGGCCTGGAGTATCAGAGTGCCAATAGTTGCATTCTCCGGAATCCGTACAGTTGTGTTATGCAGAGGTCTTACAAAGACCGGGGCGTGATCATTAAAATCCGATACGCAAATGTCCAGCGTGCTGTGCACTATATTCGCCGGAAGACCCAGGTCTCGAGTGGTAATAGTGAGGCTATAGTTTCCGAACCTATTGCGCAGACTCTTGCTGGCGAAAATTTGGGCATTCCAGGCGTCCAGTTGACGCAGCTCGAACATTCCTTAAAATGGTGTGAAACTTAAATAATGTGTAATAATTATAGAGATTTTAAAAACTTACCATCTGTGTTGCCCTGCGTAATGGCAAAGTCGAGTCTTCCATTTGGGGTGGTTGGATCATCTGCATCCTTGCCCACTATGCTCGCCACTCGTTCATGCAACTCGTGATACTCGGTGATTAGAACACAACTGCCAGGCAGACTAACCTCCGGAGGATTGTCATTCTCATCCATTAGGGAAATGCTAAGCCATAAGGTATTTAAGTAAATAGGAATTCTACTATTAAATAGGTTCCATCAACTTACAAGACCTGCTTGAAGGCATTGCGACTTTCTCCGGCCAGGAAACCGAATTGATAATTGTCCCAGGCCTCGATTACCAGGTTGTAGGAGTCCTTGGACTCCCTGTCCAGGCGATCGGCCACCGTTAGCACCCCCGTATCCGCATCTATGGTGAACTTTCCCTGCGAACTGATGCGATCCATGAGGAAGGTGATCTTTCCGAAATCCCCCGAATCGGCATCCCCAGCCTGAAGGGTAGCAACTCTTGTGCCTGGCGGTGCATTCTCACTGATCGTATAGTTCTTGCTGCCGCCCACAAAGTAGGGATTATTATCGTTCTCATCCAGCACTGTTATATAAACATCCACGAGAGAGGATCTCGATGGAACTCCCGAGTCCGTGGCTCTCACACTGAAATTCAGCCACTGGTGCTGCTCATGATCAATCTTGCTGGCCACCACAATCTCCCCTGTTTGAGAATCCAGGTGCATTAGGGATCTATAGGTGGGATTACCCTCTAGGGCATAGGTTATAGTCCTATTCTTATCCACATCCGAAGCCAGAACATTTACAATCATTGCTCCGTTGATGCTGTTTTCGGTTATGGATTGCCGGTAAAAGGGCAGTCGGAACTTTGGATTATTGTCATTTTCATCTAGCACTTGAATGCTTAGAAAACCTATAATAAAATAAATTCTTTAATGGAATCAATAACATAATTTGCGTTGTAAACCCACCTTCTGCGATCTGCCGACCCTTGGCCGCAGCCAGATCCTCCACAGTAATGGCCAGTTTAATGTGCTCCACCCTTTCGCGATCCATCAGTTTGATCACCTTGAGGCTTCCCTCGATGGGATCCACCTCAAAGGCTCCTAGGAAATCGTACTCGCTACTTTTCACCAGAGCCCCCTCCTCACTGCGACCTTCACAGTGTTCGGGGTTCAGTTTGTACCGCAGGATGGCCTGCTGGTCCAAGTCCGTGGCCCGGATACGATGCACCAGTGTGCCCACAGGTGTGTTCTCCACGATCTTCAGAGCTGGCATTTCCCCAAGTACAGGTGGTTTATTGTTCACATCCTGAATGCTAATGTTCACCGTACAAGTGGTCATTAGCTGGGAGTTGCCCAAGCCGCCATCTAGAGCAATCTGAAAAAGTATATTTAAAAGTAATACAGAGGAATTAGAGGGAACCTTTATAAACTCACCACTGAAAGGGTATACAAAGATCTCTTACTGTCCGTAAGATCTGGATCTAGATTGGCTCCCTGGGCCACCGAAATAACGCCCGTTTCCGAGTTGATGATGAACTTGTCGCTGGCACCGGTTTGAATGCGATAGACAACCACATTGTTGGGCGAGGATCCATCACCATCTACGGCCGTCACCTGGAGCACCGAACTTCCACCTGGCAGATCCTCGGGAACGGTTTTTGCGTAGAAAGATCGCTGGAATATCGGCGCATTGTCGTTCACGTCCTGCACGTAAATCAGAACGGGAACCACGGTGGAGAGCATGGGAATGCCGGAATCGCGAGCTCGCACCAGGAGATCGATCTCCCGAATGCTCGAAGATCCCCCCGCCTGAGGATCACTCCGGCTACGACTGCTCCGATCGACCAGCTCTTCGAAGTCGAAACGATGCACTGGACGCAGCAAACCGCTCTGAGGATCTATGCTGAAGTTCGAGCGGTACATTCCCTCGACAATTTCGTAGGTAACCTGTAGTGTTGGGTTGGTCATGAGTGAGTGAACAAAAAAGAGTTGCTCACTAAACTGAGTGAGTGAACATGTTCCTCAAACTTGTTCTTTATTGTTCACTTGTTCATTTTTGCTCACTTGCTCCTTTTTGTTCACTTGCTTATGCGGTTATTCCACTACATTGGTCGGCTCATTCATTAGAACAATTTTTTCTCAGCCTATACGATTTTACGTAGGTGCGAGCAAGACAGATATATGTCAGCTGCAATGAGCAATTAATGAGCAAAATTTTAAAAACCGAAGGCCACCATTTTATTTTTTTTTGTATGAGCAAAATTGAATCTAAAAAGTACAATTTTGCTCATTTATTAGAGCTACTGTAAATCGGATCTTGCTCGCACCTACGTAAAATCGTATGGGCTGAGAAAAAATTGTACTAATGAATGATCCGAACGATGTAGTGGAATAACCGCATTAGTTATGCTCTCTGATTTGATCTTTTTAGTTCACTTGCTCAGTTTGGCTCTCTTATTTGATCTTTTTAGTTCACTTGCTCAGTTGCTCTCTTGCTGTTTTTGGCACAAAAAGTATTTTTTTTTTACTTTTAGGATGCATTTTGCAAACGGTTTTACAGACAATGAGCTGTTTTCTCAGAGCCAGTGAAAAAGTTAAGAAAAGAGCAAGTGAACAAGCGAGTAAGTGAACAAGTGAGCAAACTGAGTTAGTTGACTCATTGGGAAAAAAAGAACATGTTCACCCAAATGAGCAGTTTTTACCTGGCTGTTCTCCGTGCCATTGAGATCCGCATCCCGCGCCTCCAACTGCAACGGGGTCTCGAACTCGGCCTGGTTCTCCAGCAACTTGGTCTCGTATTGTCGCTGGGGGAATGTGGGGGCATTGTCGTTCACATCCAGGATGTCCACGATTATCTGTGCCGTATTCCTGTTCCCTTGACCCGCGCTATCGATGGCTTCTACGGTGAGGTAGTGTCGGGAAATGATCTCCCGGTCGAAGGCGGTTCCACCCGACTGCTTAATTGATATTACTCCGGTAATTGGGTTGAGATTGAGTCTAGAATAGAAGAGAGTTACTAGGTAGAGGTTAAGGATTCTTTGCATAATTTTCTTACAAGTGAGCTATGCCCCCTCTGAGGTTGGTGTAGCGTATGCCCATAGTTCCATAGTCCCCCGAATCCACATCCACCGCCTGCACATGGGTAATAATCGTGTCCTGCTCGCTGTTCTCCAGCACACTGGCATTGTAGATCGTCTGACTGAACTCCGGGAAGTTGTCGTTTTGATCTCGTATGAAAATCTGCACATGAGCGGAGCTACAGAGGGGAAAGGTTAGTAGAATTTCCACAATATGTAGTAGTATTCGTCATAAACCCACCTCCATCGACTGGGCTCGTCAACCTCCCTGGCGAATATGGTAAAATTTACCTCGGTGAACTGTTCGAAATCGAGCGACTTTGAGTTCTTCACCCGCAGCATAAAGTTGGCCTCATTAACAGCCAACTCGGGTACGATCTCGAACAGATCGTTGGGCGGATCCAGGAACAAGCGAAATGTGCCATTGTTGCCCTCATCGTGATCGAAAACCACATTTTGTACCTCCTCGTCGATGAAATTAAGCGGGGTGTTGGTCTGGGCATTCTCATTTACCTCACATCGGTAAACGGTTTCCCCAAAAGTGGGTATCTCATCGTTGACATCACTAACTATAATCGTAACCTCTGTGCGAACTGTTGTGGGTGCCATTTGGGTATTGGATTTGGACAACTCGGTGGCCGTGATCCGCAGGATGTGGGCTCCATTGACCTGATCGCTCTGCTCCTCGCGATCCAATTCGGTTAGCGTGTGAACTATTCCCGTGTGCGGATCAATGTCGAAGAGATCATTGGCCTCCAGGGCATAGGCAATGGGATTATTGATCCCCCGATCTCCATCTATGGCCCGCACTCGTAGAACTTTTGTGCCTACAGGAGCATCTTCGGCGATTCGCGCCACTGCTTGCACCTCCACGAATTCCGGGGGCTGATCCTCCAGATCCTTTACCTTCACCAGAATGGCGGCAGTGCCAGTGTTTACAGGTCCCTGATTGGCACGATCGATGGCCAGAACCCTCAGCTGATACAGACTCTTTCGTTCGTAGTCCAACTCCTTTTGCAACCTCAAGATGCCTTTGCCCTGATGGGTGGCTATCGAGAATACCTCATTATCTCCGTCCAGCTCCTGCAGGTAATAAACCACTTGGCCATAGGCACCCTCATCCGCATCCGTGGCCTCCAGCGTGGTCACCACGCCAGGGGCACTGCCCTCTGGTATTTCGATGGCATTTTGATAGGGCAGAAAGGTGGGAACATTGTCGTTAATGTCCTCAACCAGGAGCAAAAAGCTCTGCGTCACATAGTTGTGATCGCTGTAGTGACTGTCGGTCAGTGTTAGCACTATGGCATACTCGTCCTGCAGCTCGCGATCCAGTTCCTTGGCCAGGAAGATCTTGGCCTCGTTGCCACTGGTGTTTTCAATCCGGATTATCTCGCTATCATGCGAGTTGCGCTTGCCAAAGGTCAGCGGATCGTTGTCCGGATCGTAGCCCTTTAGCGTGTATATCAGGGTTCCTTAATGAAATTAAATTATTTACTTGAGATTGAAATATATAGGTAGGTGTATCTTAACCAGAGAATAAATAAATAAATAATATCTTTAGAAAGAATTGTAATAAGGTTGGCTATATAAAGATTACCACAATTTCTTATATGTAGGAAATAAATTATGCACCGTTAAGCATAAGAATTAAGAGAGTGATAAGCAAAGAATTTTTAGACATGACACATAACGATGTTTGTTTATCAGATCGTTTAATTCGGATCCATTTCTTATTTAGCACTGCTCACAGATTAAACAAATTTCTTTATTTATTTTTAGATATTAAAATCTCTTTAAATTTTTTGGATCTGAAATTGCACATTTAAATTCTGTTGATAATGTGATGATAGTATCAGATCTCTTACGCTTTTAAATATAGGTATGCAATATTGCAATAACATATAGGTTACAATATGTGATTTATGAATTAAACCTACAAAATCAGATTTTTTAATCAAATTCTAAACTCAACTCACCCACTTTCGTTTCAGGACTCTCCTTAAGACGCAATACAATCTCTGACTGCCCGTCGATAGCGAAGCGCGGCGGGCGATTTGAGGCAACCAAGCTGATTAGTGCGGTGAGTATTATGACTTGTAGGTGGAGGGAGCTTATATGTCTAGGGGAACTTCGATGTCGCAGTCCTTTTAAGCGAACCTTCTTGTAGTCCATGCTGCCGATTCCATGGCCATTCGACTGAGACTGTGGTTCGTTGCACATTGTTGGCTGGTTTGTGGCGTACACCTGGGGGTTACTGGCTAGAAGCCACTAAGCCACATGACAGGTAAACGCGAGCGACGACACCTAGAAAATAGGCAGAGTGTTACGAAAGAGGCGAGCCAAGTGTTAACCCATTTTCCCCATACATATGTCGCACGTTTTATGGGCCGTGATCTATGACCCGCCGTCAGTTTCGCTCGAGAAGGTAACTCAAAGAAGTTCTGTGCCCGTTCTGCCATTGCCACATGCCCAAAAAAAAAAAAAATACAGAACTCAATTAGGTCGTGCATTAAGAAATCCGAATGGAACTGGACTCGCAGTCTGCGTGTCTACAGGTGTTCTATATGTCCGTATGTTCTGCGTGAGAATTGGCCAGCAGCAGCAGCAGATCTTTGCGAAAGTTTTATGCTCGAAATTAATTAAGCGTCAGCTCTTTATTGGCTTTCAGTTTACTTTAATGCTGGCTCAGCGCCAGCCTGGAATTCCGCTAAAGAAATTTTATGGGTTTCGCGGCTGCCTTGGTTTTTAGTTGTTTAGTTATTTTGTACGAGGTTTAACGACCGGAACGTTTTCTAAACTGCCCGGCAATTATTACTACTTTGGCTTATTCATGTGCCAGATTTGTCTCATTGCAAATTTTCAACAAATTGCGGATAAGTTCTCGCTCAAGTGGAGTGAAAATTGAAAGTCGTCTGTTGATAGATACAAAGATGAGGGGAAAACCTAGTAATGATATTGCCAAACTCCTCGTGAAAAACCCTTATCTTTTCTTCACAGGGGTATGCGTGTGAAAAATATATATTTGTAGAGCGATGACTGCATCTGTCAGCTAAAGATACAGATGCACATATGCATTATTAATGCCATTGTTCGCGGGTTCAACTCGGTTAGGCTCATTTGCAATCGGAGCAGCAGATCCGCGAGATTTGCCAAGTGCGGTTCATTGATTTCGCAATTGCTTGGCTATTTCTTAATGGCCTCTGCCATCGTAAATGCCTCCGTCGGCGGTAATTGATTTGTGTATCTCCAAGATGGTTTCATTACCGAGCTTGGTGGCAAAGCATGTTGATGTTGCATCAACCTCTTTATCGCGGGAAAATCAGGCAGCAAGGTCGTTAGAGAGTCGCCTCAACTGCTGATCACGGTTAAGTGATTCAAAAGTAATCACAATCCGCACCTGATTTCGCTTTCAACACGCGCCGCATGCAACATTTTCAGTTGGAACGACTACGAGTATCTCTATCTGCAACATCTTCTGCTTTTGGGCGGCCGATTCTCTACCATCACCATCCGTGGATAATTATCCATGCATCCGTGGCCAGCACGTTTGTGTAACGACGGCAATTGGGTTGTTTGGTCAGTTGGACGATTCAGGGATGGGGATGGGGATGATGCTGATGCTCCGCTGGCCAGGCAATTTCATGCTGCACTGCCTCGGCCCAGCCGAATCGGGGTTATCAATGCTGTCGATGATGATGATTTTGGTGTGGGGGAGATCCATATCACATATCCCCATCGGAATGAAGGGAATTCTCCACTCTGTACTTAAATATTTATTTCCTTTGCTATTGTGTACTTGCAGATATATTGTTCATGTGTGTTTCATAACCGATTCAAACGTATTGGAGACTTGGAGTAAATATACATTGGTGAGTATTACCCATACGACATGTAACCCATCAAAATTATTTAACCAAAACTAAGACCTGAAATTTCGCTTTAATAAAATCTAAAATAATTATATTTATATATTTATTAAGATTTTCTATCGCTTGCAGATAATATTTGTTTTATTTTCATATTCCTACACTATTCTAACTAGTTAAAGGTTTTGGATAAATCAACAAAAATAAAGTGAAAATATTTATTAAATTAATTTATTGCGCTATACAGGAAATGCGCCTTAAAATAATTTAACCATTCATTTTCTTTAGCCTAATTTCTGGGCTATCACTTCCCCCTAAATGAGACCATTCAAAATCCCATTTAGCTTTATTAACTCCATTAGTAAGAGACGCACTTCCACCCACATCCACTTTCTTGCTGGCTGCCAATTTTCCACACAGCTAAAACCCACTGAATTAAGGCAAATTAATAAGTTACGCCGCCTCGGAAAGATCGGCAAAATCAGTCAGGGGTCTGCCATTTCCCCGTGGGTTTTTACATAAGTGGAAAGTGGCAGAAGTGGCTGAGGAGTTGCCGAAAAGTCAAACAAAACACAAAACACTTGGCCCAGCGACCATGACGACGACGGCTTTCCGCAGTTCAGATACATCTGCGACCTGGCGATACACACATGTGGATCTGAATCCCAATCCGAATCCGAGCAAACTTCGGTGCTAATGACTCTGCTGGCAGGGTTCACGCTTGGCCAAGTTCTGACCCCGTCCGAGTGGGCCAAAAGTGAAATCCTTCACGAAAACTGTCCACACCCAGAAAACAAAATGGACTAAAAAGGGGCCTAATTACCTAAAATTTTAGGAAACATGGCCAGAAAAACGCGCCAAGGCCATGCATTACCTAAAATGTTGTCCATGTGGACTATATTTTTTACGCAGTCTTGAATTTATTTCTGGTAATCGTTACCTAAAAAAATGTCTAGTGGACTAGATTTTTAGGTCAAAATTACGTAAATATTAGCTATTTTCAAAAAAGTTAACATTTTTACTATTGATAGTAACATATTTGTTTATTTTAATTGCTTATATTGTTTTATTCGGATAAGTAAATATTTTATCTTTCTGAAAAAACAATCATTTTATTTTGTCCTCGGTGGGAATCGATCCCCGGTCTTCTGCGCGAGCGTCCAATAGGCTAGCCTCTGGTCTACGGAACTACTTAAAGGCCCTGTGGCAAAACCGAAGCCTGCTTCTAGGTGCACAGGCGAATTCTATTTTTAGAATAGGGCACTATTACCTTAAAAGTAGGAAAATAGTCCACGTTGGTATTGATTTTATATATTGAAACTTTTCCATCACTAGCTTTAAGAGAAGTCTAATAAAATTTGTTAATAATAAACTTAAAAAACCGAATAATTTGTTTATTAATATTAAGGGCCAATATTTGTATTAAATTGTGAGTAATAATCGACTTCAAATTATTCCTAAATTTTAGGTCTTATGGACCAATTTTATGGTTACGATGGCCTATAAAAATCTCTTTTGCTTTACCTAAAAAGTAGGAACATAGTCCACATGCTAATATTTTTAGGTAACCCATTACCTAAATCTGAAATTTTAGTCTATTTAAATTTTTTAGGTCATACGTTACCTAAAAAATAGTCTCACATTTCTCTGGGTGCAACGTGTGCGGTATGCAATGGCCACCGTCGCCAATCTTGCGGCTTTTGGGCTAACCGCAAAACTGAAAACTGGCAACTCCAAAGGTAATCGCCTTCGAAATGGAAATCCCAATAAACAATTTTGATTTGTCTGCCGCTGCGACAAGTTCCCCGATCTCTTTCTCCGCCCCATTCCATACCAGCCCCCAGTAATCGCCGGTTCATGACTTTCCAAGCCAGCCAGGGGCTCACTTAATTATATTAAATATGTTAAGCCCGGCTGAGAGCGGCAGTCGCATATGTACACTCGGAAAAATGTTAGCCGAACAGAACGGAAAAATATAGCAACCGTGAGAAAAAAATAACTCAACTGAATACATAAGTGTCATAGAATGTAACACTTTAAATCAGATTTATAAAACCAGCATAAAACCATGACACTTATCTTCAAAGGATTTTTTGATCGAACTATAAAAAATTCACATGCTTAAAACACTTTGTTTATGAAACCCATTCTAAAACTAATGATACTTCACCTAAACGTACATCGAAATGAGTCTTTTGTATTTATACGAACTTTAAAATATTAGTATTTTGCATAGTACATCGTTTTTTATAAAATATTTATAATAATATTTTATATTTCTCTGAGTGCATCGCCGCAGATTGAGATTGGTGCGGATCGTGTTGTGACCAATGTTGCCTCCAGTTTCCGGCCCGCGAGCAAACAATCGGTCCCCTGGCGTTCCGAGTACTCCAATTTGAACACTTCCTCCCCCGTATTAGGGCCCTTTTGTCATGCCCATCGATTCCGATATGTACGATATGTATGTAACTCTCCGACAGTCAAGTTCAACGCCAGCAGCCAACAATTGTTTGCTGGCTGGCAAACAAAAGGAGCCGCTTGGAGGCCAGGAGGGGGTTGGCTCCGTTGCGGTGGCTTGGTTTTTGACTCATAGCCCGGGTTCAAGCGACGCCCGCATCCGTCTCACTTTTGCAGCCAAGCTCTGAATCTTGGCTTAGATGCTTTTAGCTGGTTGGTGTCGTGAGCAATTTGTCCGTTACACTCCGGCTCCTTTTCTGGCTCGGCACTCGATTTTTGCACTTTTCTATTTGAGTCTGCTTTGCAAGTATTTCTACATTTCGGGTAATTAAACAATTTATTTGGCTGGCTGGTCTTGGAAGAGCAGCCAAGTCCTTGGCATGAGGTCTGACCTTAGTTGCAGAGCTGCGAATAGGAGAAGTTTGCCAACCCTTCGAGTTTGAACTTCAGGCTTCCGTGCACCGCGGAAAATAACAAGGTGCGAATTTACTACTTCAGAGCTAAGACAATTTTTAAGTATGACTTAAAATAAATACATAATATTTATAAGAGAAACTGTGGTTATACTACCAATTTAAGGAACGGCTTTTCAAATATAATATGGCAAATTTCGTAGATAAAGTATAAATTCTTGATTTCTAAAAATGTACTCTAAATAGAAAAGAAAAATAAAGTCGTCCAAGATCACTAAGATAATTTTTTTTCGGTATAGAGCTTCATTCCTTCACCCTTAACAATTCCTTGCAAGGAAGCCTCCAAACTATCCCTTCATAAAAAAACCCTGTCACATGCCAGGACACGAATGCAAACCGGTTCCGCTTACTTACCCCCTATAAAATAGATATTCCGTTAGTCCGAGTATCCTTTGGCTTTTTGACTCTTGTGGGGTATCCTTCGGCTCACTTTGAGGATAATTACTTGAAGCCAACCAACAACACTTGCAGTGTCACACTCGAGTGTCTTTCAACAACTACTACCAGGGAACTGACAAATTTCGTGGTTGACACATTTTTACAAAAAGGCTTCGACGTCACTGGTAATTAGGCATAAGTCAAGAACCCCGCAGAACACACATATGGAGTACACGATGAAACCGCATAAAATAAACGTGTCGCACGCTTCGAAATTGGGCAATGCACGAACCGGAACTCGACTTTAAAGAGTGGTAAGGGGCCTCGAAACTTGGATGGTGGACAGATCACTTAATGGCACTTTTGGCCCACAACGGAACGTGCCGTAGAACACGAAGTCTTCCAAGTTCTTGAACGTATATTTAACTATCCAAACTATTTGCACTTTCGAATCCCGAATAAACCGTTAAGTGTTTTCGGTGAATACGATTTTTGGACGAAGTGTTTACCACAACAGCCGCTCGACGACTGACGTTGAATTTGAAAAACAAGCTAACGAGACTTCATACCTCTGCTCGAATCGAGTTGTCGCTTAAAGCCATGGCAACCCTATTGGGGGAGAGAAAGATATAGTGGAATATAGCCGGGTCTAAAGAGAGGGAGAGACTGCAGGCACGAGAGTAATTAGCCAACCGTAAATTCCACCGGCAAGTGGGTGGCGGGCGAGCTTTGTTTGTTTACAATTTGCAAGCTTGTTACTGGATCGTAACTGTGGGCTCAACGGAAATCTGTAAAGCTTTGGTCAGTGGAATCCGGAAGTGCGTGGGCTTATGCAATTTTGAAGGTTACTGTTAACCATGTTAACCAAGTTTTTGTTCCATTTAGTAACTGTTTTGAAAAAAGTATTTTGAACTGTTATTGGATTACAGTGTTTTTTTTTGTTTATGTGATAAGAAAATAATGGTTATCGATCCTTAAAATGGTATTAAAGATCATAGTAAAGAACTGTAATTTGTAGCCATTCATGTTATTCAATTAGTATATAAATGTGATTCATATTATATTATGTTAAAATATTACAAAATTTCCTTTTTTGACTTTAATTTATTTATTCTGCTGTTTTATTTCATTAAGAATTAATTATAAAAAACTAGTTACCTTTCTCTTAAAATTTAAATATACTGGGTTCCTCAGAATATGTCCGTGGGTCAAGTGACAATGATGCGGAAAGGCAACTCCGGCGAACTGGCGCGAAAGGCCAACACGGTGGTGGTGTCGCTTCCCCCGCTGGTTAAGAAGTCCAGCAAGAGCCGCTCGTTTCACTTCCGCTACCTGGAGCTGTGCCGGGCCAAGAATCTGACGCCGGTGCCGGACATCCGAAGCAAGTCGAATGCGACCACCACCTTTCTGGAGCTGTGTGGCGACAAGCTGGCGGTCAGCGATTGGCAGCTCCTGACCGAAGCGCTCCACTATGATCTTGTGCTCCAGCAGCTGGTGGTGCGCCTGCGCCGCACATATCCGCAAAGTAAGTGTATTTAATGAGAGGGTTTGTATTAAAATAAACTTAAAACTATTTTATAAAATAAATTATAAAAAAGCTTTAGACATCTTATGGTTAGGAACCTCATATTTCGTTAATAAATTTTTAGAAAATTGCTTAAGGAATTTTCTTACTTATGAACATATTCATTTGAGAAGTTATGCTAACGACAGGATGATCTATAAAAATAATTGTCTGTATCATAACTAAAAAACCGATTACTGATATGTTTAACTTTTTCACATCAGCCAACATCGACCCCATAGACACTGAGAAGCGTGCTCGACTCTTTCGCCAAAGACCGGTGATCTATACGAGATTTATTTTTAACAGCCTGGTTCAGGCGATTGCAAACTGTGTTTCAAGCAACAAAAATCTGAGTGTGTTGAAGCTGGAGGGACTGCCCCTACAGGATGGCTATATCGAGACCATTGCCAAAGTAAGATTTGAGTTAATCCTAGTCGAGGACCTCCTTTGAAGATCCCCTATTCACAGTCACTGGCCGATAATGAGTGCCTGGAAACGGTTAGTTTTCGCAAGTCCAATATTGGTGACAAGGGCTGCGAGGTGGTATGCAATACAGCGAAGTACCTAAACCGCATCGATCTCTTCGATCTCTCCGATTGCGGACTTACGTCCAAGGGAGCCGAGCATGTGGCCGAAATGCTCAAGGTAAGATAGTCCATATACAATAGTGCTTTAAGTTACGATCTTATAGTAAACATAATGAACCGATAACTAACTAAATTAATCTTTAAATTCTGAATTAAAAATCCTTAATGTACTTTGAGTATATTTTAGGGTATTTGGGTGGACTTTTTTAAGGTCGATTGAGCTCAGCATCTGAAATGGTAGGTTTCGGTGTTTAATAAATGTATGCGAAAACAAAAAAAAAATGGTCAAAAGTTTCAGTAAAATAGCTTGTACGAATCGTAATAATTTTTTTCCTTCCTTAACTTGTCTTGCACACAAAAAAAAGCACGTCGCAGTAAAATCGATAAGTCCAGGTAATTTTCTGGTTATTCTTACTCATATCGTTTTTACCTGAAATATTCATAAAATTTACATTAAATAATATCATTTTGCCGAATTCTCTCTCTCGGAGATTCTCTAACTTCGAAAAAGAGCGCAAGAATCAATATGGCGAGCAAAATGACATGAGTGGAAGCAAGAAAGACGTATTCGAAATTCGAACTGACGTACTTCAAGCATGTTTTCTCGCTCGCACTAGAATAAGTTTTAATCAGGAATAATGAAAATTTTCGTTCTTACATTTTCGACCATATCACATTTACCTGGCCCCATATCAAGTTAAAAATGATCTTAAAAAAGGTCAAATTGACCTACGATTCATATCGATTTTTTTTTGGGTGTGCCTATTTAACATGCCTATCTAAACAAAAAGGTCCAAGTTAGATCCCCAACCCATCATGTTTTTTTTTTGTGTGGCTCACACTAAAATAGAGATTCTATCTAATAATTTTGAAGATTAACTGTCTCTTTTGCGTTTGGCAATAAAAGTTATAAAACGAAAAGTTAAAACGAATTATTTTTTTTATTTTTTCTTTCTTTTATGGATTAAGGATACAAAAAGACAATATATGAAGAGGCAATGCTCTTGCCTTAAAAATTTCATACAAAAAAAGTACAACCTAATGTACATAGTTTCAAAAATATAAGTCTTTGTTTCGCCTTTAAAAAATCGTTAGTCATATGTAGGATTCCCGAGTATACTTACATTTGACGCGTAAAAAGTAGAAAGAATATGACTGCTAATGAGTCCCATTTTCCCTACTCCCAGATGCAAAAGATCACTCGCTTCACGGAGGGATGGGAGAAGTCGCTGCGCTACCGCAGTGTGGATGTGAACACAATTGGTGGACTGCGCACCGTTCTGCTGGCGGACAATCCGGCTATCGGCGATGATGGCATCCGGTGGATCACCGAGGTGCTGAAGGAGGACGCCTGGATAAAGAGTAAGTAGGCTACGAGTAGTGCCAATATCAAAGCCCTCAAATACCCCACAGAAATCGACATGGAGGGCTGCGGCCTGACGGACATTGGGGCCAATCTGATCCTCGATTGCCTGGAGCTGAACACGGCCATCACGGAGTTCAGTGTGAAGAACAACGAGGGCATCAGCAAGTTCCTGCAGCGCAGCATCCGCGACCATCTGGGTGGACCGCCCGAGGAGAAGCACGAGCCGGAGTACGACCTGAGTTGCGTCAACGGACTGCAGAGTCTGCCGAAGAACAAGAAGGTCACCGTTTCCCAGCTGCTGGCCCACACGAAGGCATTGGAGGAGCAGCTCTCCTTCGAGCGGACGTTGCGCAAGAAGGCCGAGAAGCTCAACGAGAAGCTCAGCCACCAGCTCATGCGATCCGATTCCAACCACATGATGGTCCAGGAGAAGGTCATGGAGGGCGGATCCCAAACGAATATTTCCAGGGAGTATGTGGTGCGAAACGAGGTCATGCCGGAGGTGGTTAAGGAGTGAGTATTATAATGCAACTGATTGTTATACCCTCGCAGAGGGCATTATGATTTCAGTCAGAAGTTTGCAACGCAGTGAAGGAGACGTTTCCGACCTCATAAAGTATATATATTCTTGATCAGGATCACTAGACGAGACGATCTAGCCATGTCCGTCTGTCCGTTCGTCTGTCCGTCCGTCTGTATGTCCGTTTCTACGCAAACTAGTCTCTCAGTTTTTAAGCTATCGGCATAAAACTTTCCCAAAAGTCTTCTTACATTGCAGGTAGTATATAAGTCGGAACCGACCGGATCCTATAGCTCCTATAGGAAAGATCGGAAAAAAAGGTTTAAAAAATTCTAGCTTCGGTGTTTTTTGAAATATTACCTTCTATTCTTGGGGATATTATTTTCTGAAGGAACGATCAAAAAATTAAATGGAAACAAATTATATCTCCGTTGGTTTGTAATGTATTTCCTTCTACTGTAGGATATGATTTTTTTTTTTAATATTTCCGAATTTCGAATTAAATATTAAAAAAATCGGACGACTATATTATATAGCTGCCATAGGGAAGGATAGAAAAAAATAATGTCAAAATAATACGAAATTTAACATTTTTGCGATTTGTAAGTTAATAGGAACGATCTGCAAGGGTATATAAGCTTCAACTGGCCGAAACTAGCTTCCTTTCTTCTTTTTTTAATGCAATTTGTTTTTAGTTCCCAGAGTTATCGTCAATCCCACTTCAACCGGCTGGTCAACAGTGCGGTCACCAGTGCGGAGGTCACGCCCCGCAGCGAGATAGACACTCTGCGCAAGGAACAGCAGCTGCAAATGAAGTCCTCGCCCATCCAGATCAAGCATCCTGCCATGGAGCCGCAGCTGAGGAGTCTGCAAGAGGTGCCAGAGGAGGAGGAGGAGGCATACGAGCAGCTGGAGGAGAACAGTCAGTCGGAATCGGAGCCACCAAACGAGGAGGAGCAGCACTACCAGCAGCAGCAAATGCAGGTGCAGCGAAAACAGCTCCAGGTTCGCAAGGTCCGCAGCGAGATGAAGTATGTGGAGAGCAATCCCAAGGAGGCGGCCAACAAGAACCGAGAGTCCAAGTCGGATCACGAGTTTGCCAATGAGCGTGATGTAAGTATTGTGTTCTGGTTATACCCGTTACTCTTAGAGTAAAAGTTCGTGCAAAAGTATGTAACAGCTAGAAGAAAGCGTTTCCGACGCCATAAAGTATATATATTCTTGATCAGGGTCACTGCCAAGTTTAGCCATGTCCGCCTGTCCGTCTGCCTGGATGAACGCTGAGATCTCGGAAACTACAAAAGCTAGAAGGTTGAGATTTTCCACACATATTCTTGGGCTTCCTACGCAGCGCAAGTTTATTTCAGCCCAGCGCCAGACCCCCTCTAACGCCCACAATTACTCACTAACGATTTTACAATGGGTCTGGCGCCCACACCTTCAAACATTTCCAAGAAGTAGAAATGCAATTTTGTTTTGTATATTTATACCTTTCGAAACGTAGAAGACATTTTTCAAATCGGACCATTCATTTAAAAGTTATGGGCAATCAAAATTTGTATATATCCATCTCCCTCGCACTCCCTTTAGCTGAGTGACGGGTAAAGGATAGTCGGGACACCATCCCGCGTTCTCTTTTTTTTTGAGAAATTTCCCACTCTGATGTAAACCCTATTCCCCAGTTCAAGCTGAATCCTGCTGTGCAGTTCGAGACGGATATTGGCGACGGTGCGATGATAAATCCTGGCCAGCGTTACGAGGGCGAAGGCGACACGGGCTATGGCTACAACTACAACTACGAGCAGGAGCCACCGGTCAAGCGAGGCTACGAAAAGGGCTATGTGGTGGGCGAGGGCGACGGGTCCCACAGAAGGCAGAGACCCTCTAACCTGGTCGAGGCCTTGGTCCAGAAACGTGGCGCAGGCGGAGGCGATGGACATGTGGCGCAGTTCGTCAGCAATCTGGAGCGCAAGGCGAGTGCTGGCAAGCCGGGTAAAAAGCGCCTTAAACCCCGAGCTGAAGACAGTCATCCGGTTCCGTTCAACGAAATGCAAATGGAATCGTACATGTCCAGCTACGAAGAGATCTCCTCCACCGATGCCACGCTGGAGAACTCTGACTTCGAGGCGGAAACTACGGACTCCACGTTGCGCGGCAGTGCCAAGTACTCCTCGATGCAGGTCTTTGTCCGCCGCAAGCACACGGAATCCCTGTCGCTGGAGGAGGAGGAGGAGGTTAGTGATACAGGCGGCGAAAGACTCATCTCTCCGCGTGAAGTTTACCAGCAGCTCCATAAGCAGCGGGAGCCCAGCTCCTAGGAGCCAGGACCTTAGGTCTTACCCATCAAAATCCCAGCAGCCATTCGCAGTAGGAGCAGCGACACCTCTGCCGGCTCCTCCAACGAGCAGTACCACCGTATACCAGCCAAATCGATTCGACGGGATTCCCACTGGGAGAGCTAAATTTGCAGTCGTACTCCCGGGCAGTACCACTAAGAAAGGGAACCTCCTCCTCATCTTTGCACGTGTCCTTCCTTCTGCGAATTCAAGCTGCTTCGAAAATGTACAAAAATATAAATTGGTCTTACTGATTGTCATTAAAGATTTACCGTTTTGTGTGCTCCCTATGCGATTTACTGTCTTATTACTATTACTCGGGGTTCTGATCGAATATTTTAATTTAAAGTCAACTTAACCGTCGGTTCTAAATTTTCTAGTTTAACCCCTTCATCACTTACGCTGCTTACTTATTTATTACTTTTAATTAAGGCTCTGATTTATTCCAAATTAAAGTCAACTTAACCCCCGGTTATAAATTATCTAGTTTAACCTCTTGCTCAAATTTTAAGTACAGGTTAAGGATTTATTTTAACCACCCAACCGATTAAAGATCCTCAACTTTTGTACTCTCTACGCGATATCTTTTGATTTATTTAGTCCGTATATTGTGGAATTGTTGAATATTCGTTTGATAAAGTTTATGTTGAATACTACTTGTTAGGATTCAATTGGATTAAGTAATTTGAATGTAATTAAGTTAACCCCATGGTTATTGCGATAAAGGGGTTAATATCACTTACGCTATTTGCTTATTTATTACTATTAATTAAGGCTCAGATTTATTCCAAATTAAAGTCAACTTAACCGCCGGTTATAAATTGTCTAGTTTAACCCCTTCATCACCTACGCGATTTACCTATTTATTACTATTAATTAAGGATCTGATTTATTCCAAATTAAAGTCGTCTTTACCCCCGGTTATAAATTAATAGAGGTTAAGGATTTATTTTAACCACCCAAACCATTAAAGATACTCGATTTGTGTGCTCTCTACGCGATATCTTTTGATTTATTTTGTCCGTGTATTGTGGAATTATTGAATATTCGTCTGATTAAGTGTATGTTGAATACTACTGGTTAATATTTAATTGGATCAAGTAATTTGAATGTAGTTAAGTTAACCCCTTGGTTATTGATTAAGTAGATGCATTTTGACGCGCTTAACCGCCAAAACCGTAGAGGGTGCGTCCCTGGCGCTTCAGGGCATAGACCACGTCCATGGCGGTCACGGTTTTGCGCTTGGCGTGCTCGGTGTAGGTGACAGCGTCACGGATCACGTTCTCAAGGAAGACCTGTGATTTGATACGCAGGATTAAAACTGGTTTTTCTTAGATTTTCCCATGATAAACTCACCTTGAGCACACCGCGAGTTTCCTCGTAAATCAGGCCAGAGATACGCTTCACACCACCGCGACGGGCCAAGCGGCGAATAGCGGGCTTGGTGATACCCTGGATGTTATCACGGAGCACCTTGCGATGGCGCTTGGCGCCCCCCTTTCCCAGTCCTTTGCCTCCCTTTCCGCGTCCAGTCATTTTTCACTCGATTGATTTGCTTTGTGAAATCGGCTAAGAAAGAGAGAAGACGCAATTAACTGTATAGCGACGCCATGTTTGTGGGGGCAAAAGTAACAGGTAATTTTGGAGCTAAAAAACTCTCTTTATGAAAAAGTTTTAAAAAAAAACCAAGTTTATACTTGTTATACGATACTCGTCTTAAGAATCTTAGTTTTTTAGGTTTATTTTCCTATTATTTACTCAATTTTTCAGGAGCAACACTCACCTCAAGAAAAATTCAGAAATTTGTTTGCCAATGTGAACAGATCCCAGTCACCAGAAAAAACCAGCTAAATACTAATATCTGGTATTTAGTATTTATTATTCTTTAAGCCAGCCCTGGCTTGTAGGTGTCGCAGTTATCGGCAATCGACCATCGCTATCGCCGCCCCGCTGCGACAAAAAAAAACCAACCGAAAGACGTGCTCGCTTAAAAAAACGCTTGGAAAACGGTCCGCTGACCTGTGAAAACGGAAATGTGCAGCGCGTAACGCAATCACCGTTAACCTGTGTGAAATACCATCAACTCGGGGTGAAAAGTCATCGGAAAGCCGCGGAAAATGCTCATGCAAACGGCGTGTGGCCAGCAAAATCGCTGCAGAGGCACCGCACACACACTCGGCCACCCACACATACACACCTAGTATACTCGAAAATCAGTGCGAAGAAAACAGGAACTCTGTGCCAAAATAATACCAATATACACCGCCAGTAGCCCTTAGAACATCTGAATAATCGGATTACGTATACGCAGTGGTAAACAAGTGGGCACCCATAGCGATAACCATAATGGCCAAATACGATCTGCTTTATCTAACGGCGCAGCTATTGCTGGGTATGTATTGCGCTGCGAGTGTGTGGGTGCATACTTATTGGCGCCTTAATTCCCAGTCGCCATTATTGACAATACTATATTCTGTCATTACTTCCCGACATCGTAATATCAGCTCTGTAATATCAGCTGCCTTCGATTCTCCACTTGCATATTTTCATTCGTGCGTGATTTTCTACAGCCTTCAGCGTAACTCGGTTACTTTATTAATATCACATGGCGCCTAAAAAAGATATCGGGTGTATTAGTTTTGTGATAACACCGATTTTTCTCTTGTTATCTTGTGGTAATCATTGGTTGTTTGTCGGAATACTTAGAAAAACTCAAACAAAATCACTGTTAATCATTTATGTCGTAGTGTACCTATAAAGGATAATGCATCTACAAGATACTCAAATAGAACAAAGATCACATTTTTAAAAAGAAAGTAGGCAGTAATCTATATAACTAGCTCTATTAGGTTCGTTCCTCTTTATATCTACATATTTTACGGATATACAATTTGGAAACCCCGAAATGGTTAAAAATTCATGGGTATTAATCGATCGGATATCCAATTTCCAATCTCGATCCATGTGTGTGTACGCTGAGCATTTCTTTGAATGGATTTTGCTGCATTAGGAACTTGTTGTATGACAGGTTCTGGTTTTTCCCTCCCTTTCACTCCTCCCTGGACGCACTCTCTCACTCTCGCCATATCCATATCCCTCTCTCTTTCTGTGGCGCACTGCGCTCCCTTCCCTGTTGCTGCTGCTGTTGTTGTTGTTGCTTCTGCTGCTGCTGTTTCCTTTTTCCCCACAAGCGCCACTTTAAACCCATCCCTTTCTGTGTGCATAATGTGCCTGCTTATGTATCTACTTTACTATAAAGCATGCACGCTTGCGAGCATACACACACAAATTCAGCGATCCGATTACTCAAAGGACAGTGGGCCAAAAAGTATGGCTAAGGATCAAAAAGTAGTTAGGTTACTTATAAGTCAAGAATAAAGATTTCGCTCAATCTTTAACAATTACCTTGTAATTCACTTATTTTTGAGGCTCTTTTAGGATTGTGAGATAGAGTAATAATTTTTTTTTACAAAATAAATATGTATAACATTCAATCATTTTCCAACATTAATAACCCTTTCAAAATTGGTATAGAAATATTGAAATTCGAATTTTCGTCAGATATATTTAACTAAGTTGAATCAACTTAGTGCCATATTTAAATTTAAATTTCGTGATAGCCCGTTATTATTTCAATAAGTGTCCCAAACCTTGACTCTCAACTTATGAAACCATTTTCTGGGACTTTATTTGGAAAGTGCTAATTAATGTTGAGACAATTTAAATTAATAAATCGTGGCTGCCGTTAAATTAGAACTTCTGACGCAATTATAACTTATGTAGTGACCCAGATGACTGAGTGACACATTACCAGTGCCACTGTGCACTGCATATCCGTGCATTGGGGCCATGCCCACTCAAAGGCTGGTGTGTGGCCAGTGGGGCTAATTCCGTGCCCAAATGGGGTGGCTTTCAATGGCACAGGCCCCAGCTTAGGACCCGACTCCTGCTGCTGGGCATGCGATATGTGTACAAAGGATAGCGCCCACAAAGAGCTCGCTCAGCGTCCTCCCCTTAAACCTTAAACCCCATTTCCCAAATACGCTCGGCTTTATTTGCCCATCCTTTGAGCACTTCCAACCAATAATTCCATTAACTTTGATCTTTTACCAGGTTTATGCCTTGTCACTTATTGTGATTTAATTATTTTAAAATCATTAGCCATAGAGGAGTTCATTAAATAAACCTACCAATATTAATAAACAATATTTCTATTAAATCCTTCTAGCTTGCTGCCTAATTGGGATCCAAGGATCCATCCTGCCAATCGGAATAGAATGTGAGCACTTTGACGAGAAGATGTGCAACACAACCCAGGAATGTGAAACACGGATCGAGAAATGCCAGGTGGAGCCGGACAAATTTCCCAGTTGCTATGTCCTCTGGTCGGTCAGCGAGACAACCGGTGAGTTGGGGAAGAAATTAGCATTATTTATTCAAGATACTAATTGATTTGGTTTCAGGCGTCCTGAGACTAAAGATGAAGGGCTGCTTCGCGGACATGCACGAGTGCAATCAGACGGAGTGCGTGACCAGCGCGGAGCCACGGCAGGGAAACATCCACTTCTGCTGCTGCAAGGGATCGCGCTGCAACAACAACCAGAAGTATATTAAAAGCACGACGGAGGCAACCACACAAGGTGGGTTCGGTTTCGGATTCGGATTCGGATACGGTTTAGCGTTTGCTGCTGCGGGGATTTGTCTTTGGAGTGTTTACCCCAATTTTGTTATTTTTCCGTTTGCATATATATTTTGTTTGTTTTTTCTACTCGTTTTTTATTGCATCTTCAAGTTGCAAAAAAAGGAAGCGTACGCTTCTCCCGCACAATCCCCCTCCTGCCATTCGAGGCAACGTTTTTCGTGTTAACGAACTCTCGACGCGAAGTGGCACCCGCTCCCCCATCGTTCTCTGCATCCCCAGTTCCCATCAACCCCCTTTTGGAGCCGCATGTGTTGCAATTTCTGCCCTCCTGTGCACGTTCGCTGGGTCGTTTTTATTTTTATAGTAAGGTACCCCTAAGCGTTTGGGTATAATGCGTTGGCAAATTGGGATGTAACAGCAAGTACTAGTTATTCTTGGGAAAAATTTACTATAAAAGGAGTAAAGGAGAAAGATTCAGTTTGATTTTTGTTTTAAATCCGTAAAACGTATTTAATTGATTTACAGCTTAAAAATTTATCCGGGCTCCAGTTTCCAACAATAATATTTCTCGTCCAGGAAAATTAAACAACTTATTTTAAGTTATTGAAGTAGGTTTAAACAAAATTCTTATTATTTTTTTTTTAATATTTATTACAATTCATAAATTTTAAAAGAGAATCTAGACTTATTAAGAAAGTGGATATACTACAAGGTATCAAAGAGTAGGTTGACTGTCCTTTTGCCTTTCTTCTTGTTTTTATTTTGGGATGTTGCTGCTGCCTTTGACTTCGGAGCCCTGTGCTGCCAGGGCGTCTTTTGTGCCCTGCTCTTTGTTGTTTTGTTCTTGGGCCTAGCTCGCTTTTATCTCGAAACAAAATGAGGGGAAAAAGAGATGCGAAATTGGGGGCGAACTTTCGTTTTTTGGTTTTCGTTTTGCCTTTCATAGCAACCCCAGCAGCTGCAGGTGCATGCCGCCACTCGAGATGTTGTTCACCTGTGGCAAGGCAGCGTTTAAAGCCCTCTTTAATGTCCTTGTGTCGTTGCAGTGCCCAAGGAGAAGACGCAGGACGGCAGCAATTTGATATATATCTACATCGGCACCTCCGTCTTTAGCGTGCTCATGGTCATCGTTGGCATGGGCCTGCTTCTCTACCGACGCCGCAAGCAGGCGCATTTTAACGAGATACCCACGGTGAGTATTCCCCTGTCGCTTGTAAGAAAAAAAAACAAATTTTAATTATGCCAAAATGTATCCCTCCAGCACGAGGCTGAGATCACCAACTCGTCGCCGTTGCTGAGCAACCGTCCCATTCAACTGCTGGAACAGAAGGCCAGTGGCAGATTCGGCGATGTGTGGCAGGCCAAGCTTCACGGCCAGGATGTGGCCGTAAAGATCTTCCGCATGCAGGAGAAGGAGTCGTGGACCACGGAGCACGATATCTACAAGTTGCCGCGCATGCGCCACCCCAACATCCTGGAGTTCCTGGGCGTCGAGAAGCACATGGACAAGCCGGAGTACTGGCTGATATCCACTTACCAGCACAACGGATCGCTGTGCGACTATCTCAAGTCACACACTATTACCTGGCCAGAGTTGTGTCGCATTGCCGAGTCCATGGCCAATGGATTGGCTCACTTGCACGAGGAGATCCCGGGCTCAAAGACGGATGGTCTGAAGCCCTCGATTGCTCACCGAGACTTCAAGTCCAAGAATGTGCTGCTCAAGAGCGATTTGACGGCCTGTGTTGCTGACTTTGGGCTGGCCATGATCTTCCAGCCGGGCAAGTCCTGCGGCGACACACACGGCCAAGTGGGCACACGGCGTTACATGGCCCCAGAAGTGCTCGAGGGTGCCATTAATTTCAACAGGGACGCCTTCTTGCGTATAGACGTATACGCCTGCGGCCTGGTACTTTGGGAGATGGTGTCTAGGTGTGACTTTGCCGGACCCGTGGGCGAGTTTCAGCTGCCCTTCGAGGCGGAACTGGGCCAGAGGCCCACGCTAGACGAAGTTCAGGAGAGTGTGGTAATGAAGAAGCTGCGTCCCCGCTTACTAAGCTCTTGGCGCGCACATCCGGTATGTTATAATAATATATCCAAAGAAATTTAATAATTAATAAATCTTCTATTACTACAGGGTCTTAATGTGTTTTGCGACACCATGGAGGAGTGCTGGGATCACGACGCCGAGGCTCGTCTCAGTTCGTCGTGCGTTATGGAACGCTTTGCCCAGCTCAACAAATATCCCTCGGCTCAGATGCTAATCAAGAACCACACCAACATTGACGACGCCAGGGAGTCGACCAACTGCTTATAGAAGCGGTACTAAGCCACAGACCAGCCATAGGTGCTGTGGCCTTAAAGTAATTCAGTCGTAGCCCCTCATATAGCAGCGGATAGTTTGACAAGCAAGCGCGGTCATGTGACGTTTCTTATGTAGCTTAATAGTTTGTAGTACCATCATCAGCAGCTAAAGCTCAGATTTTAGTAAGGTGGGTCGATTTATCAAGGGAATATAAAATAATTTCCTTTTTTCAATCGATTTTGATTTTTTTTTCATAAATATAAATCGACCCGAACTGAACAAGGAGCATTAGATGTGGTGCTATGTGCATAGATGTGTTAGCAGCTACTCATCCGACATTGACTTCATTGACTGATAACCATACATAGTTTTATAAAAATACCATGCATATAACGTACAATTTGTTTGCCCTCAGGCAGTAGTTTGTGTGCAAATGTAATCTGTTGAACATTATTGTCAAGCCTTTATAACTCTAATTTTATTTGTGCGTTATCGAATGCCTCCATATAGTAATAGTTATACTTACTCGATAGGTTTAGAGGAAATTTCAATATAATTTGAATAATTTTAGTTTTAATTTTACTTTGTAGTCGTAACGTTTTTATTTCGCACACAAACGTGCATGTGTTTAATGTTGTATTTTAAATAAAAAATACTTTTAACTCCATCCTAACCACTGATTTTATATTATTTTGAATTTGATTTAAATTTTTATTTTCTAAACGTAGTGCCAATGACCCTCAGAAATCACTTAAGCATAATAAATGTGTAATTATGTAATCGTATTCTAATTCTACTGGACAGTACAAGCAACACCTGAAGTTTTCAAAAGAAAGTTTCTTTTTAACGAGAATCTAACTTAAGCGCATATACATTATAAAATATAAACTATACTCTTTATATACACACCACACACACGCGTAGGCATATGGAACACACGCAGTCTTAGCTGGTTTATATGAAGCACACGCTGCGACTCATTGTCAGCATTAAATCTAAAAATCTAATCTAATATTCAACCCAAGAGGACAGCACACACTGTAAGAAAATTTAGATCTAAAAACCATGAGTAAGTATGTTAAATATTGTTAAACAGATAGTAAGTCTTATCATGTTAGCACAGGTGCAACTGATTAGCCAAGGAAGATGTATCTTAATCTATAAGTAATTTAAGAGAGTCTTGGCAACATGTATTATCTTTCGAGTTATTTGAAACTTTTTTGCGCAGCATCAGTTCTCATCAATCGCTAAGCATCTGAAATATTTCTGGATTGTCACTTAAGATATCAACTAAACACAATACACAACACGAAACAAAACAAACAAAGCTTCATTACCTGATTTTTTTGAGCAACTTACAACAAAAATAGTTTATTACGCAAAAACAAAACAAAGGAAATAATCTTTATAATAGAACGAATTTTGTTATGCTGTATTTAATTTGTATAATTTTCATTGGTGCTGAAAGATCATTACGACGTAAACAATGATAATGATGATAATAAGAAACGAATTCAAAAACAAGCAGTATTTAAAGAGCGAAGAAAATATGAAATATTTAATCAAAGTAGTTTGTTACATATCAGAATGCTAAATGGGAAAGTGGGAAGATATACATAGCTCATTGAAAAACGATTTGCAGAGAAATTTTTATAATATTATACAAGGCAATAACAAGCCAACAGCAATTTTGGTATATTTTTTATGCATTTCATAAGTAAAACAAAAACGACTTAATGAGCGGTAAATTTATAAAAAATCGTTTTAAAACACCCCATTTTCGAATATCATCAGCAAAGTTTTATAAAAACCAATATGCGAAAAATATATACGAAATGATAGCGAGTCATGTTAATAAGACGTTTACGATTAACAATGGATCTTTGATAATAATGGATTTAAAATAAATAAGCAAATGTTTGATAAATCAAATCCAAAGTGCGTTTTCCCTCAATAAAAATACCAATTCTTTTCCAGCTTTCTTGCCACATTTTATTACAATTGTCCTCCATAAACATACAGACCATTCGGATTATATAGTTCAACAATACGGTTAGGAAAACTTAGCCAAGAGCTACACATATCAGATACAAATATTTATATGAATAATATTAAGTACAAGGTTTATTACTTATTGGGAATTTTTAGAGTTATATCCCGCCTTCAACTTATAAATTGAAATCGAACGAATATAGGGACTAGTACAGGCTTAATTGATACAAAAAATATAGGTTTATTTACATTCTTCTACGTAGTTTGTGACTTTGGACCATTTCAGTTGTAGTTCTACTTTCTTTCGTTCTTCCAGTGTCTGTTTCAAAGACTTATCAGACTTATCCTTAGCTCCGTAACTCTCTTTCTATTTCTCGGGGAAAAAATCGATCTCTATCAAATGCAAATATGTAAAGCATTCCAAGTCCTGTGCGTTCTGAATGGGTGTCTTACTAAAATATATGTATACGTGTAAATCTATATTGATTCTGTTTCGCATTCCGTGTATGTATGTGTATAATCACCACATCCCTCGCCATATTCAGCTTACGGTATCGAGTATATCTTTATTGGGCTCCGAGGCTACATCTAGGCTAAACATGTACAATATATAGTATAAATAGGTTTTGATGTATATATAAGTACTTATAGAGTTTGTACGATATGTTTGTCCTAGGGAGAAAACTTTGCAATTGGAGATACAAGATACGAGATACGAGAGTATGCAGTTAGGGACGGTTTCTAGGTTCGTAAAGCGATCGCACTAGTGGAGAGACTAGCCGGGCAAAGGGGTGGAGTGTCTTCATAGAGTTATACAAGAATATATAGATGCCACTGTGCAGCAGGTAGAAAATCAAACTCTCTTCATCATTCTGTAAGCAGTTCGCCAATATTATCCACACCAAAATAATTCCTGCACAGCGTTGGATTAAGTTTGTAAATATAATTTAGTAGGTCTCATCTGACCCACCGCCGGATACGCCGCACTTGGACCGAAGGATGGCCGCCAGGCGTTGGGTGAGCGGTTCTGTTGGGGATTCGGAATCGCTGCAGGAGGCGGAGGGTACTTTGTTGCCTGAAATAAAGTGGGGTAAAAATTTATTAACTTTATTATTATATTATGTATATTAACTTACCATTGCTCACGTCCAGGTCAGCAGCTGGGTTCTCCTTTAGGCCAAAGTTGAGGCTTACGGGCACGATGTCGTCCTCCTCCTCCAGAAGCAAGCTGGAGTAGGAATGTGTGGTGTTGTCGCTGCGCCCGCCTCCGCCGCTCGATGAATTCCTCGAGGATCCAGAATCATTGTGGGAATGGGAATGCGAATGCGAGTGGGTATGGGAGTGGTGGGAGTGAACTGCCAATGCTACTGGATCCTGTCCTGCGTCGTCGATGGGCAGCTCGAAGTCGTCGCCACTGCTGCTGCTCTCCTCCTCGCCATCCATCACATCCACGTTGTCAATCTCGTCGTCACCCCATCCATTATCCTCCTCCTCGGAACAGTTGTTGCTGCTCTCGCTGCCATCGCCATCTGCATCCGCATCCGCATCTCCGTCTGCGTCGCCTGCCTCGTCCCCGTCAACATCCGCCTCCACATCGGAGGCATGCAGATCCAAAGCCAAGTCGGGTGATGAAGATTTATTATAGTTCTCATCGCTGTCGCTGGATGTGGCCACTGGGGCAAACAGATAAGGATTAATTGAGTGGCTGCCGCTATTCATCAGCTCACTTACCTGCCCTCAATTTCTCCAGGATGAGCGGATAGAACTCCTTGGCCGTGGCATTGTTGGGCTCGTATTGCAGAACTGTATTGGGAAATGGAAAAAATGTATTGTTGGTCTACTTATATTTTATGAATGGGAAAAAAACATATGACGCTTTTATAGAAATGTGTTGTAATAATGTAATTGTATTTCTTTTTTATTATGTAAGAAATAGATTTATTTACAGATCCTTACGACTATTTTAGAAAATTTTATTAATGTTTCCAATGTAATTAATACAAAGTTTTCGCCTAGATTTGTTTTATGTTATAACTGGAGTTCATTTAGGAGAACAATAATGCAAAAATACTTTGAATTCATTACAATTTCATAAAGATTATGATCTGATTTTTATGTTAACTATTTTTTAGATTACTGTTAATCTTTTAAATTAAAAATCAAAAAGTCTTTTATAGCCAAATCGTTACCTAAAATTGGAAATATTTTAATAATAGCCACTTAATTTAGATGCGTGTTTCAATTTTCTGTCATCTCTGAACTCAACAAAGTTGTAAATGCAGCTCTTAAAAGTACGGTGACATACTTTGGGAGCTGATTTTTATTCTACTCACTCAATTTGCAATATTTCAATGCCTTTTTGTAGTCCTTCAGCATCACGGCGGACAGGAACTGCAGGAGAAACGAGAAACGCACAATACAGTATGGTGCATCGCACAATATACGTTTAAGGGAATGCCAGCAAATCCTTTTGAAATTCTCATAACATCTCAACAACAAAAGGCTTATATATAGGTACCACATATCCACCCCCTCGATCTACTGGCCCACTTTGTGGGATGCACAAAAAAGTTGACTCTGCTGAAAGTTGAATGCGCTCGAAAGCAATTTATTAGCAATCAATAAGCTGGCCAAGTGCGCTCGGTGCCGTAATCCTTCCGAAAGGACTTTAACTTAAATCCGCAATCTCCGTTGGCAGCGCAGCAATTTGCATTTGCATAAGTTCCTGCCAAGGATCCTCATTGTTGTTGGCGTCGAGCAACAAAGGGGAACTGTGCCACGCTTTGATAATGATAATGAGGGGAACAAAACGGGGTTCTTTATCGTGGGCAGCAGCTGTTATTCACAAAAAAAACACCAAGGGATTATAAAAACTTAACTGAATTAATTTTTGCCTGAACGTAAATATTGTTAAAATATGGTTTATGATAAGCTTCAATATCAAGTAGTTAATTGATACACAAATAAAACCTAATAGATTAAACCGAACTCAGTTTTTGACAATATATGTTTTACCTTAAATTACTAAAAATATAAAAAAAAATTTTATGAATAAAAAAATCAAATCTATTTGTAATTTTAAAATTATATTTAAAGTAAGTAAGTTAAAAAGTAAAAGAAAATTGTGTATTCAAAGAGTATGCAACACAACATTTGTTTAAAAAAAACCACATCAGAACCAAATTCTGGATGCGCCACTGCTTTAAGTTATATTTACAAAAATTAAGTTGGTAAATATATTGTTGATAAAAATGTAACATAAGATAATTCTCACCCTTTTTGTCACCCTTTTAAATATTTTTCATCCGCCAAAAACCTCTCATGCGTAAACTAAAACTTGGCCTGTTGGTAAATAAACCTTTGTTCACTCACTTTGGGGCAGGCTTAGGTTTCATTTCGAGGACTTGGTTAACCTGAATTACTCTTACCTCGGCGAGAAACTCAGTGGGCGCGGATATGCTCTCGTCGGCATCCGTGTACTCGGAGAGGCTCTGGCTGAGGTCCTCGCTGGAGGCGGAAGTGGGCAGACCGGAAGCGGAAGCAGCGGCTGCGGCGGCAGCTCCGTTCATTATGTTTATGTTGTTTGTCGTGGCCATCATGGTCGTAGATGCACCTGTTCCTGCTGCTGCTGTTGTGGTCGAGGTGGTGGCAGGAGCACCTGCTCCGATTACTCCATTATCGTTGTCCATGTGGCCATTGCTGCTGTTTGGCCTGACCGCATAGACCCCATTGCCATTCGACTTGTCCATGAAGAGGAGCTGCAAGCGGTGATTTAAGTTCCTGCCCTTCCGGCATTCAGTTCTCGGCAAATACTCACGTTAGACATGATCTCCGATAGCAGTTTCAGAATCTTGCAATCTTCAATTTAGCATTTTCATGGACTTGTCTGAAATGGCAATTAGAAAAGGGGAATAAATTTGAATTTTGGATTGATCTAGATTGGAAGAGACTACCGCAGTGCAGCTACGGTATCGATTTCGATGCTTATCCCTAATTGGATTGCCCCACCTTCGACCTTCACTTTCTGGGCAAGTTGGTAAGAAAAAAGAGGGCAGGCAACAAAGAGCGTTGGAAATTCGTTAAATGTCAAATGCTAATTCCACTTCCGCTGGATGAGCGCAGACATTCGCTTTCCAGCCAAGCGAAAAGATAAATTTAGGCTAACTGCACTCAAGAAAAACTAAATTATAAGGGTTAACATCAAATTTAAATACCTGTATTTCTTCTTAAAATATTTTGCTACCTTAAAAAGCTTTGAAAAATCATTTAAAATATATAATTTATATAATTAGTTTTTTATTTTCGATCTAAAATATTTTTCTGATAAATTTACTACGTACACTCAAAAAAAAATTTTAGAAAATCGCCTATGGATTTGCTTTACTGGCGATTTTTTTCTATATTTCTGGAATATTTCTTGAATTTAATGAATTTTGATTAATTGGAAGAAAATTTTCTTTACCAGTAGAAAATTTTTTTATTTTAAAGAAAAAAATCGCCAGTGAAGCAAATCCATAGGCGATTTTCTAAAATTCAGGGCGATTCATTTTCTGAGTGTAGGGGAGAGGTCTGTAGGTTGAGACAGTCTGTAAGTTTTCTCAATTTTCTCAAAACTTTTCCACTAAAAAATTTTTTTTTATTTTTTTTTGTAGTCCTTTTTAGTGACAAAACTTTTGGGAAAAATATTATAAGCCAGGCTCTAGCCAGATTTAAGCTGTGAGAGTCGTGTACCATTTTGAACCAAAAAAGTTTTTGTCTACTTTTTTCAAAATTCCATTTAAAATTAATAACGTCCTTAAATTAACTTGGTAAGATATTTAAAACATTAGTATATTAACTGTTAACTAATTAAAAAAAAGAATCAGCTTAATGTGACAGTCAGAACAAAAGTTATTAATTTTTTCCCGAAATATCCCATTTTGTGTAAGTTGAGACACCCGTTTTTCATACAAAAAGGCTTTAGGCCAACAGAGGTCGCTTTCTGCCTAGCACATTTCTTTGATATTAGGGGAAAAGTGAATGTTCAAAGAGCCTTTTGATTTTAATTGTTATTTGGTCGAAGTTCTTAAAAAATGGATGGGAAATAATTTAGGACGAACTAAAATTGATTAAATTAACATAAATAAATAGTTCCTTATAGTTTGGAGTACTTTTTGTGTGAGTATTATTGACTTTAAAAAGTGTCTCAACCTACAGACCTCTTTTTCAAATTGTCATTTTTTGGCACTTTTAAAAAAAAATAATTTTTTAGTTTTCCCAAGGGAAAAAAAAATTTTTTTTTTGCTTTATTTTACAGCTAAAAGACTAAGCTTTCGATCGGTACTTAACACGTGAAGTTTCAAAAGCGAATGTCCAAATGGGAGACTAAAAACAAAAGGTGTCTAAACCTACAGACCTCTCCCCTAATAATTTTAAATAATATCGCAAAAAAGTATGACACAATAATGATATTCTCCAAGGCATCTTAAACTTATTTTCAATACTATACTTTGCATTTCTCAGTGTTTTTCGCACAAAGAGCAAAATTCAATGATGCGGTTGATGGGGTGTTGGGGGCGGGGTTCGGTTGGGGAAATTCTGCCAGCGGCTTTTCTTTGGCCAACTAGTTGAATAGGCCAACTCGACACGCGAACATACGAGTATTTGCCGGCTGCGAAAGCCAAGTGTGAGGAGGGCAAATGAGCGGAATTGTTGGCGTTTTTCGCTGGGAACGGGCGTTTAATTGGCGAGCGACATGCACCACGCCTCGAGGTATGCAATGAATTTTTCGGTTATTTATGCAGCATTTGCAGACAGCCAACGAAGCGCAATTGTGTGTGTGTGCCGGCTGTCTGCTCCTTTCAATAATTGAAAGCACTCGCAGTCAAGGACTCGAGGGCCGTCATTAAAAACAATAAATTTGTTTTAATGCTCGACATGCGAAAGATTTACTCAATGGCCCTCCGGTTTCTGGTGTGCACACACAAAAATTGGTACCTTTCAATCGGAATTTTTATTCTATTAAGCTTTTTAAGTTGTTTTTCAGTAAGCGATGCAGTAAATGCATAACTTGTTTACTTGCTTTAAAAAACTAAAAAAGAAGCAAAAGTATTTAATTTGAATTTTTCTGTATAAATGTATTTTATTTGTACACCTAAAAATTGTTTTTTTATTAGAAATCTTAAATAAAAATCTAAAAAGCCCCTTCATCTCTTTCAGTGCTTTTTTCTTTTGGCTGCAAAATCAATACCAATAATTACAGTAATAATAATCTTGCAACGTGCTGAAGCCATAACTGACATGGCTTCTGCTGCTCCTACTGCTTGTTTACTGCTCCAAATGGCCCTTAATTGTATTTTATACCCGATGCATTGAATCTTAATTGCTGGCTGCCCGTCTCTTCGTCTGTCTCTGTCACTCTGTGACGTCCTCTCTCTTTCTGTGTCTCTGCAAACAACACGTCAGTCAGTCAATTGTCTGCGATTTGTTTACTCGTCGGTTGATCCTTTCTGGCATTTCCAAATGTCAGACATGTCTGGGTCCATCCTGTCACGCAACTCTATCGGAGGTCTGCAGCCATATTCCCAATCGTATATCTGTATTTTTTGCTAATTTTCGGCCCAGACTTTTACAAGGTTGCGAGAAAGAGAAACATACTCCTTGATGGGGGGAATTGTTTTGGGGAAAAAAGCTTTTAAAAGTACTTTGCGACTACTCACCATGTGCCACAATTCTCATGACAGCTTTAGTTTTTCTTTCGTAAACCCTTTACTTTCCCGGTCTTGAGCACTAACTTATTCAGCGGAGCTCAATTAACACGAGTGGAAAAACTAATTTCAAAACAAGTTTTCTTCGGAATGATTCGTTTCGAAAGTTGCTAAAGCTGTTAAAAACAAAAGTTTCGTGCTTGCCAGTCGCAAGATTTTAAACTAACTTAAGGAATAAGAGAAGAGAATCAATGCTGTTGAATAAAAAGCTAGACTTTAAATCGAATTATTCTAAATTTAATTCTTATTCCTTAAAAAGCAGGACATTTTCTAGACGACTTTTGGACAAAGTTTAATTGCTGTCATCATACCATCGACAATTTATAACGATAATGATGACCCCATTAATTAGTTCAAAGTGTTTTTCACATACTCTAATTTATGTGATTTTTTTTAACAGCAGCTGCAACATTATCGATACTTGCATTGTCTTGCATTGCTTTGTTTTAAAACTTAATGGAAAAACTTTTCCAACTATGTGACCACAAACAGGTGCTGGCTACGTACTCAAATCATTTTCATTTGCATAATTAAAATGTCTACTGGCAAATTGAATTTCCATCCCATAGCTGCCCTCTTACCTGATTTTAACCGGAAAGCAACCAACCAACCGCCCCTTTGGGGTGGTGAACCAAATCTAAAGTCGGCGAACCGGAAAGTTATGTATGTGAAGCACATGTGCCACATATGTACGTATACCTATATATGTGGTGGATGCGTCATGGGGTCAGATGGCGGCCACAGTGCAGTAAAATTGCATAAAAAGCCATTGCTGTTACTGCAATTCGGTTGTCCAGTTTCAAAATGCGCCGAATAATTTATAACAAACACTTAAATGCGACTGCGATACCAATCCCCAGCTAGAACCATTCGAATGTTTGCCAAATTGCCGGCCTGTTGGGGCTTATTTGAGCCAAAACAACATGCAATATGTAGTCGATGTCCCATCGCCTGCCAACAACTAACCAAGCGACCAACCGACCAGCCGAAGGAGCAGACGCTACCGAACCGAAGGTCCTTGCCATTGGCCAGTCACAACACGAGCCGTTAATGAGTTTTCCTTTTAATAAATTTTTTAGCCGGCAAACACGGCTGACGACGAGCCCATCTGGCCAGGCCCATTGATGCAGATAGAGAAATTATATAGATTGATTTATCTTTTTTTAGATTTTGTGTTTTTTATTTTTATTGATTTTTGTTAATATCAATAATATTATCATCGCAGTTTAAGTTTACCTTATGCAAATATAATATTATTAAACTGAGAAACAGTTAAGGAATAACGTATTCGTTCTTCAACCATACATTTTGACCATCCAAAGGATGTATCTTTTTTATACGAGCACCTGAAGAATTTATGAACTTCTTTGATGACCTGTTTTTCTTTCCGTGGTGTCACTTCAGGTAAATATCGTCAATAAAAGGCGAATTTATGATAGAGTGTTGTAACGTAGTTTCCTGGCTGGGATATGGCTCAGTCCGGCCAGGGTCGCTTACAGAAAAATTTATAAGCTGGGGACTTTGGAAATTTTTGTAGAGGGTGAGCCGACTCAAAGGTGGAAGTTGTCGGGCGCACGTTAGGGTTATGTAATCGGGCTCGTAGGGGAAGATTTTGGGAAAACAACCGGGTGGGTCGTCGGTAATGGTACACCAGTGGGAGCAGAGGCTTGGCGCCTGGCTGCGATCCCCGAAGGATGCACGTGGGGGTGGGTAGTGCTACACTAGTGGGAGCAGAGGCTTGGCGCCTGGCTGTTATCACCCAAAAATGCACACGGGAACCGGGAAATAGTACACCAGTGGGAGCAGAGGCTTGGCGCCTGGCTGCGATCACCGAAGGGAGCACGTGGGGGTGGGTAGTGCTACACTAGTGGGAGCAGAGACTTGGCGCCTGGCTGCGATCACCCAAAAATGCACACGGGAACCGGGAAAATGGTACACCAGTGGGAGCAGAGGCTTGGCGCCTGGCTGCGATCACCGAGAGATGCACGTGGGAATGGGTAGCTAGACGCTAGTGGGAGCAGAGGCTTGGCGCCTGGCTGCTAGCACCCAAAATATACACGCGAATGGGGTTTAATAGACACGCAGGTTTTCAAGTTTCGGATATAATATTTATTGAATGAGAACCTAGGGGTCCCTGCCT